GATTTGGAGAACGGTCATTTGCTTCTCCAGTGAGGATGTCTCTTGCCTGACAGGGACTGCGTGGGAACAGGGCTGAAAGACATATTCCCAGGTTACTCCGAATTGGAATGTGTTCCGAATCGGGTTCTGTTCAATGATCTGATTGAATTTGCTTGTCATTCTGAGAAACAGTTCACACGGATCATGCTGAGATTCTTCATCTATCAAGTTCTCACCTGCATATCAGCAAATGAACATGCTGATTGGCAGCAATGATGGAGGAAGGGAACTCACTTCGGAGGATCGGTACAATGTCCTTCAGATCCACCAGCCGTCTAGTTACCGAAATGGCTTTAAGAAAGTCACCTAGTAAGACAATCAAAGAAGGTGCGTGAGGCCTGAGAGCGTCATTAGCTTCGTTGAATGCGGACACGAAGGCTGGAATTCGGAAGACAATATGGAACAACGACAGAGCAAAACAGGATTGAAGATAATTCTTTGCTCCAACAGGTCGATCTCGTGGTGGTAGTGCGTCCCGAGGAATGCCAGCTTTTGTGGGGGCTGTCTTTTGGCGATAAGGATGCAGAGGGCGGTGAGCTGCTGGACGGCCACCCTTATCAGCCTCTGGTCTTGAAACCGGTAACGTGGCAGTGGTTGAGGGATGGTCGTCAGAATGGTTGAGGAATCGGTTTCGGCGGGTAATGGGCGAATCGGGCTCGACAAAATCAAGGTTGGCACTATCAATGCTGATGAGCTTGCCCTGTTTCGGAGGCTGCTCGGAGGACCAATCATGCCACACAGGCTCCGAAGGGTCATGTCCCCAATAGGCAACAAGGTCTTCTTGATCCAATGGATAAGATATCTCTCCCAACCGTCTTTGTAGTTGTATAGCTCGAGTCTGCAGTCGCAGTTCGTTTGCCGTGACACCATTAGAATACGTTTCGGAGGAGCCACAAGTGTGAAAGCAGTACAATGCCCAGAGACCCGAGCACCTTTTGCCTGTTTCGGTAAAGTATCTGCAGGAGCATCGTTCACGAGTTTTGTCTTTGATCCCACAGTAATGTAAGTCCGGTGTTGTTTTGCTCGATTCGGAGGATGTCACACAATATGTATGATCTAGTTGACCTCTCAATGACATAGGCATCTCGTCTCCGAAACATTCCCTAACCGCCCCTTGCTCCCAAAGCTCCAGTCCTTGAAGTATGTGTGACAGAACTGTGGGGTCACAGCGGGCAGATGTTGGTGGTGAATGGAGATACATGGGAAAGTAAACGTCGATGATGATTGTGAGGAGTTTGTCTATACGTTTGTTGGCTCGAGATTCAAGGAATACTCTGTCAAAGGTCCGAAATGCCGCTTCGACAAAGTTGTTTGTTGAGAGAGTACCATCTCGGGTGTGATGAGGTGGCAGACCATAGTCGACAAGGTATCCCCTCCATCTGTCGCTGAACCATTCAGACAGGAGCCAGGTTCTGATTTTGTCCCAAATTTCGGGATCGTTATTGCTGATTGCCGCAACATCGGCTTCTAGTCGAGCAAAAGCTTCTGACCAAGACTCCTCTTCGGAACATCGTTGGCACCTCCGAAGTGCCACAAGGAAGGCAAAGGCCTTTTCGGTACCCACCAGATCACTCCCAAATAGCCGAAGTGCTCGAGATCGGGCGGCGTGCATGAAATGGAATTGGCATAACCGAATTGGAGTTCCCGGGAAGACCTCCTCAATGGCCTTTCGTTCGGCGTCATCACAATCAATCATGAAATGTAGTGGAAGGAAATCCTCCTCGTGAATGTATTCGGCGTTGATGAGGATTTGCTCTTCATTCTCATATTCGGAGACCACTGATGATTTGCCCTTGAGTAATGCTTTCGCTTCTTTCTTGATAGCCTTTCGGATAACGCTCAAGAATTCGGTATAGGAATCGGTGTTGGCGTGATTCGAGACCATGACAGCTACTGGAGCATTGTCAGCTCCGAAACCCGAAACCCTTCAAACCACAGGACTCACCAGGGACCATATGACCATATTCATTTACTGTGGCTAGCAAGGTGACGGGACAGCGTATTGCATTCTTATTTCTCCAAGACGAATCAAGAAAGAGGCCCCGATCTGTGGCATGCCGAATTGCTGATTGCAATGCATGTTTCGGACTGATGATTGCAATGAACGAAGAGTCCGCTGGGAATGGCTGAGTGCCACCGAGTGCCAGGCCTTCAGGATATTCACAACTGACAGTCAGCTCATGAGGACAAGGAAACGCTGGCTACATACTGCAGGAAAGAGCTTGGATTGGCCTCATGTAAGATACTTATCGCCGCCAGTGGTAGCCGATCCAGCCTTTCCTGCCGCAGAGCCGTTCGGATGGCAGTTTGGAAGTCAGTGGTGGTAGGAAGACGCTCGGGATAATTTGCCTTGACCCATAGGACATAGGGGTGAATCTTGCAGAAGGAATTGTACCACCGAAGCCGAAGACGTGACTCAGTCGTTCCCACCAGAGTTGCAGCATCATGGAGTAGGTTTCGGAGATGTGGCGAAATCCGAAGTAATGTCAACGGGTTCGGTTGACCGTGATATGCAGCTTTCGGGCGGATCAGACAACAGACCCCTTTTCGGATATTGCTGGGGGTCATTCGTATCTAAGAAAATCAGCTTAGTGAAGATGAATCATCCTTATATGACCCACCTCAAGAAAAAGATCACACTTTAAACGTGCTCTTGAGGAATATCGTGCACTGGCAGCAGTTGGAGGGTGAGCTTCGGCTGTTGTTTGTGTTTCATCCTTTGCTTTCGGCTCAACATGGTGGTGGACACTGTTCAAAGTTGGCTGGATCTGGGTACAGTTGCCACTGCATCGGAAGATCGACCGAAACACTGTCCGATTCGGGTATGCGGCGACAGCACTGTCGGAGACAAAGAAGAGGCCATGTCTTCCCCTGATGTCGGCGGGTAATAAACCAGGGGGATCCAACCATTCCACTTGAACACATTTGGATATATGCTGGGTCTCAATGAGGTAGTCCTGACGCTGATATATCAACGGTTGTAACTCTCCAAAACAGAACACTGACCAAAGAGTCAAACGCTTTCGGGATATGATGAAAAGCCACCTCGAATTGTTCATAGCGATCATCATCCACCAGGTCAGGATTCGGTAAACGACAGAAGGTTTCCAAAGCACGTATGTTGACCCCAAGACTAGCGTCGGTGCGAGGAGCTTTGAGTGCCAAGAGTGGAGCCTCAGGACGTGGTACGGAGTATGATTCGGAAGAGATATTGACAATTCGGAAGCGCCCGGCCGCCTCTTGCCTAGCAGTGATGATCTCATCTTCTACCGAAATGGGATTCGGAGGTTGAGAGGGAGACCATTTCGGAACGGCAGCGGATAAGTTGGGTGCTGAAGCTTGCACGGCCGAAGACAATGAAGCGGAGGGGGAGGCCATGACCAGCTCTGTCCAGGGTACCGAATCTGGTGTCACAATACCAATACCGTTGGACGATGCAGGAGTATCTCCTGATGCAACTCTCCTGTCAGTTGATACATAAAGGGGATCCAAAAGTACTCACTGGAATCAGCCGTGGACAGGGGTATCTTGTGACCAGGAGACGATTTGGGAAACTGCTGTGAATGATTTACTGAGCATAAGCTTCAATGAACCCAGAGGAAAAGAAACTGCCTCACAGGCCACCGAATCCAAATGCGATTCCAGTCGCGTTTCGGAAGCAGGCAGGGAGGCAGAGGGGGTTGGAAGGAGATCGGGCTGAGCTACTTTATGACAAGGAGATGGAGAAGAAGCCCCTCTTGAGCTCAGCTGGGGTGGTTCAGGAAAGGGCGGCGGTTTGTTCACTGAGCATAAGCTTCAATGAACCAAGAGGAAAAGAGAATGTCTCACAGGGCACCGAAACCGAAACTGACTGGATCTCCGAAGCTGTCCTGTTGATAGAAGAAGGCTCAATAGGGTGAGAAGGACCGGCTACATAGTTAGTAAGGGGTGAGATAATCTTCAGAGGAGACACTGACATGTTGATGGTGATTGTGCACTAGGAGCATACACTTTCGGAGGTCGACCACGAAAAGGCGACTTTCTCTTTAAAGCGTTGAGAATGAGTTGATCAGCTTGATTATTCTGAGACATAAAGCTTGTGAGCTTAATTCAGTAAGTTACTATTATGTTTAAATCAATGGAAAGAAGATGATTGAAATAAGAAGAGGAGAAAAATGATTGCCCAATCACCGCCAAACAGTGCCTAGGGTTGAAGGACACATCCTTTCGGGGGCGTTTCCGAATTTGAACTCCAAATGGCTGTAGAGAACCAAGGACTCCGAATTCGGAGGTTCTGCCTGCATGAATGGCTTCAGAATACGTGTGGCAACCCATAGATATGCAAGAAGCCACGGTAGGATGCATATTCAATACAGGGGGGATTTGGGGACATTCCGTAGGTATTTGGGTCAGTAGTGGAGGGATCCTCGGGTTGAGTGACGTATTTTGGGAGAAAGTGGCAAAATTTCGTCGGGATTAATTCGAGTTCCGTCGGGATTATCCCTACGCGCTACTGAGCTGTGCAATGGTGGCAAAGACGTCACTGGCAGGGAAGAATTTGATCCCGCTCTACTACCGCAAATCTCAACTGCAACTGCAACTGCCTTTACCGGCCATCTACATCCCATCTATACATTAGACTTGACTTTTACAGAGCTTCACACCTGTACATCTGATCGCGTTTGTTCAAAATCCTCGATCATTCTCGATCAGCTGATAAACAAGCTGCCAAGACTTCGATCGTATCAGGTCAAAAGTCGGTGCGAGATAAAAGCACATCGCCTCGGGCTTCAACGTAAAAGGCGGTCGTGATTTGAGTTTCGACCTCTTCCCCTCTCGTACTGTCGCGCTGTCAAGTTCGAGCTTCACTTCTTCAAAACGAAACTTCAAACTGAGTCTATTCATCTGACAGAAATTCAAGAGGAGCTAGATTTTGGTGTGCTGTGAAATACACGGATATCGTGTTAGAGTAGTCAAGGAGAATGGTGGTTTTGCATCTGTTATCGTATGTTGGAGGATTGGCAGCTTTCCTTTTTGTCACTCTCTCCCTTGGTAGGTCCTCGTTTCTACTTGGAGATATTGAGAAGTACTTATTGTCAAGCTAGTGGATTATTATGGTTGGCAGAATTGATAGAAGAGCACTCTAGATATGCCAAATCAATAGGTATCCGAGCTATTTACGTGAGTTGTCTTAATTATCAGCTCACCCCAACCTTCTCTTACTATACCCTTACTCCCCATCGATGTTCGATAATCTAGCTTCTACGCTGACCGGCACGATGAAGGACAAGAGGTACAGTATCAAAATGCTAACATACAGTCCATCATCATCCTACACATTCTACTAGCAATAACAGACGGTCTTCCTCTCCTCCACATCATATTCTCCATCTTCTGTCATATCGTCTATCTCCAAAACTTCTCCTCCACATGGCCATATATCTCATTGACCAGTATCAAATTCATTGCATCGTGTTGTCTCGTCGTGGCCGACCACTTCATATGGTTCTTCCACTTTGCTGCAAAAGCTCAAGAAGCGAAACGATTCCGAAAGCCCACGTATAGGTATGGGACGGGAGTCAAAGAGGTGGATTCGGTGGCTTTCATGGATGTGGCAGCTTTCTTCGCAGTTTGCGTTTGGTTTGTGCCTCTGTTCTTGTTTTTGAGTCTGAGTGCGAATGATAATGCTCTTCCTTCATTTGGTGAGTTCTTCAATCCTTTTCTTCTATACTTCCTCTTTTCTTTGCACCGTGATTTCCTATTGCTACTTTGATTTCGTCGATCCCGACGGTCGGCCAGCGCCAGGATTAGTGATATTTGATCTTTCCGAGACCACCTTATGGTGCGACGGTGCATTTGGTGCATACCGTGTACCAAGGAATAATCGTTCGAACGTGCTGAAAGGGTGGATCAGCCCCAGCTGACTTACAGATCACTCTGCTCCACCCAGTCCCGCACAAAGCGCAGTAGATCTCTCCAGTCCCGGAACATACGCGACCCCATCCCGATCTCGTTCCCGTGTTCCCGCTTCCACCTCTCTAGTCAAATCCATCCTCATGCCCATCCTCTCCGTCCTCCCTACTATCCGTCGTCGAGGAGCAAAAAACGAAGAAGGTATCATCGCCCCTCGTACTCCTGTCAGAGGATCACCCCTTCATTCTCCCATTCAAATGCCCCCATCATACTTCCCATGGGGTGACGATTCCGGGAGTTCCAGCTCTGCTTTCACATCATCTGGTCTTACCCCCGATACAGGTATTGGGATCTCCAGACCTGGATCTGCTAATCGACCGCGCAACACCCCACCCCCACCGAGGAGGGTACAAAGCGAAGCGTACTTGTCTCATCCTATCAATCCACGTGGGGTAGCTACTAGAGGAGGTCAACCTGTCGTTCCTGATAATGTCTCGAGGGAGGATGATGGGTCAGGGTTGGATGTGAAGAAACCTATGGGAAGAGGAGCGGCAGGAAGGTTAATCCCGCAAAGACCGGACAGTCCTAGTACCTCTCTTGGACTAGGAGGGGAGAGAGTGGGTGGAGAGACGGATAATAGACGTAAAGCGGATTGAAAAGTAAAAGAAGTGTAAGATTTTGAAGAAGTGAGAAGAATCAGAACAACATCCAACTTTTCTTGCATATATATAATCTTGTATCACCGCATTGCTATATGCTACCTGCTACCATGCTACTGTCTATGCAATTAGTCGAAAACTACTGTGTTGAGCACGTTTACAAAAGGACGGGGATAGAACTTATGAGAGAGGCAAGTTTAAGGAATAAAATGGTATTCCTTTTGTTGACGATTTTCGTTTCCAACTCCGATTTTCATCCATCATCTTGACTTTTCTATCTCTACCATCTCCGTTATGCATATCGCTCTAGACGGATGAACAGATGAATCCTACTCCTCCTCGTCATCCACAGGCATCTTCATCGGCGGGATCATCACGTTCGAAACCTCTCGATTCAGGGACATCAACATTATCAATCCTCAAGGTTTCTTCGAATTCTTCGTTGACACCTACCATCGACCCTGCAACTCCTTTGAGTTCTTCACATGTGGAAGATGAGAATATTCAGAAGATATCACATTCGGCTCAGCCACGAGAAGTGAGAGACAGGTTCAGAGATGCTAAAGGGGATGAATTATTTTATAGAAGTTATAGATCTGAAGAAGAGGATTTAGGAAATATCATGGATTTGGTCGCTCAAGAATTGAGTGAACCTTATAATGGTATGTTCTACCCATTTTGCCTTGACAAGGAATACCCTTCATACTCTTACTCATTGGAGGCATGGTAAGTTATGTACGAAATATATAATATGAGATTAGATGCGAAATATGAGGAGGGGGAATGGTTGAAGGAGGATGTAAATCATGTTTACCACACCACACTTTATCCTCTTGCAAGTACTTTCACATATCATTTTGATGATAATCTTTCCTCCTAATCGTGAACCCCTCATAGTGAAAAGCTATTATCGTTCTATAAAAAGTGCACACGACCATTCAGAATCCGTTTGTTCAGCAGAATATGGGACATTTGTTGATTTCTCAGTTTACACATATCGATATTTTCTTGATGAATGGTATGTCCCCATTCACCACGTTGTTTCATCATTTCATCATCATGACATTAACCTTTTTCCTGGGAGAATGACGAGATTCTCGAGAATGACGCTGACCTCCCTAGGCCACATTTAACTTTCCTTGTCAGTCGTCCTTCAAATATGTAAGATGGAAGTGATTGACGAATAGGTGTATTTTTCTGAAATATCTAAAAAGGCAATAGCGGTGATTGTATGTAAACAAGAGAGTCATAAAGGTAAAACGAGTAGAGGATATATTGCTATGCTCAGTGTGGATAAAGATTGGAGAAGGAGGGGGATAGGTGGGTGGATTCTTGTCTCTTCCCGGTTGGATCACTTGCATCGTTACCTACCCTAACTCTATCTTCGTATCTCCACTTGGCGTATCTTCATTTTTTGAAGTTTGACTCTTCTGGAAGATCGAAACGGAATCCGCTTACTTCACACTCGGCACTGCATGCTTTGCTTTGCTGCTAGCTTGCAACAAGCCCTTCCGTCGTCTCGGAGTTGGGTTGCTCAACAGACGGACCACTAAACTGACTGTGCCCTGCTAACGCACAGCTTCCAAACTTGTTGAACTGGCAATAGTTGAAATGACCCGCAGAGGTGCACATGAAGTCGTTCTAGAGACCGAACACGACAACCTCACCTCTCTCGCATTATACGATTCCCTCGGATTCCTCAGAGAAAAGCGTCTGCAACGATTTTATTCGAATGGTAAAGATGCGTGAGTATTTTGATTCTCCACATCATCCTACTACCAAGCGTACCATGTTGACTCGTGCCTTGTGAGTACGCCAGTACTGATTTTCAGTTTCCGACTCATACGTTCATTATCCCACCATCCATCAATAGAAGAAAGTGACTCTGAAGTTGAAGAAGCACGACTATCCGTTTCTTCAGGACCTACCCCTCCTCACCCGATGTACACCATAGAAGAACATGCTCCTAGACTAGAAACCCCTCAACCGGAAGGAGAAGAAAGATGGGGATCGTCAATTTGATCATATCTGCATATCTGCATGAATAACGCATACTCATAAATTAGATTACACTGATGATCATTCCTCCAAAGATAGATTTATGAGTTCAACTTTGCTTCTTCTGCTTTGAGCTGTCTGATCAGCTTGTTTATTCATGATAGTGGGGAAGGGATGACACACCTCATCTGACGATTTAGGCTTTTCTAAACTGTTGGCGATTTGCGCATCGGGGATGTAAACGCCCGGTAAGTCATATGCGTTTGCAGAACCACCTTGGAGACCGCCACCTTCTTTGGGTTCTTGGTTCAAGTCGGCGGGATTATTCGTTTTAGCTGGATGAGGTAGGATACCGAATCCTTATACATCAGTCGTCTGTCACAAGAGCTTTTATTCTCACCGGTCAGGATTGTTGGGAGTATCGTGCTTTACAATTATGGAATTGTGGAAAGATGAATGGGTGGCGGGGTGGCGGGAAATGATTGAGGGTAGAGATTGGTTGGAAAAAAACTCACTTTTCTCTTCAGGTTTGTCTTGATTGTCGTTGGCGTCGGACATTGTTGATATAATCAGTTGAGTATGTTTTGCCCGTGATAATGTAGATGTGTAAGTGATGAAGGTGGTTCGAGAAGAAGAGGATTGAAGGGGCCAACGAATCGTTTGTCACCTGACGTCACTCGCACTCGCCTAAAGCCACGTGTCCAAATCGCGATCCGAGCACTGCTATGTGTGATCGATACAAACTTAGGCCACAAATTCACTTTCGTCCACATCTTTCCGTACTAGTACTCCGTGTTGACAACTCACAATATACGTACAAAGGAGTCGTATACTGGCCTTGATCATACGCATACTCAGTATACCTATTTGACATCTCAAAGAAAGAGGAGAAGCGCAAGCTCCAATGGATCAACTAGGAGAAGAAATAGAATCGGTCCTTCACATAGCTAGGGAAGTGATGGGTGAGCTCATCTCTCCTATATCGCCAGTTAGCCAAGCTGACCGGCGAGTCTACCAGGTCCCGCCACTGTCCACATCATCAGGACATAAAGCTGCCGATTGGAATGTCGAGTCTTTCTTGTGGAAAGGCAGAATGAGGGTATTGGAGATTGGGGAAAGATGTGAATTACGATTAGAGGTGAGTTCTTGTCCTTGACGACCGCGTTTCCCTTGTCAAACTCATCTCGATACCGTTTGGAAACGCCAAGCTGAGGACCAGGACGCAAATTCTGGAGAACTCTTTGCTCAAGTTAGATACGCAAGACCATGGACTCAAGTCGAACCGGTATTAGACTCGAGCCGGTATTTTGTCCTGAGGGTGGAAGGTGATGGTGGTAAAAAGGCCACCATAGGGATGGGGTTTTTGGAAAGAGGGGATGCTTTTGATTTTCAGGTGAATCTTTCTTCATCTTTTTTGATCCCATGACCATATTCACGGCTGGTCGGGACAGGAGTTAGCCTACCCTTCCCCTACCCAACTACAATCTGAATGTTCAAGCATGATAAATATCACCATTCACAGGGCATTTGCTCACATTCAGGTCGCATTACAATCATTCGCAAGAAGAAGCTCTACCCCCAATCAGTCACAAGATCCTTCCGCTCCACTCAAACCCTCAGCCCCACCCAAAGATTACAGTCTAAAAGAAGGACAAACATTCACCATTAAATTACCTGGAAGAGAGACCAAGAAACCTTCATCGAACCCTGGTCCAACATCAGAGGGAGGTAGCAGTGGTGGATTGTTCGCTCTCCCACCACCACCGCCTCCAGGGAGGAAAAGATAATGTTTAAAAGACGACATGAAATGGTATGATACTTCCCACTGACAACTTGGCTGATGAGATTTGAACAACGCCAAGAACTAAGAACCTCCTTTGTTCAGCTCTCCAAGCTGTCCTCGGCGAGTCTTGGCTTTCAGTAGCCAGGCTGACTCATATTCGGTCTATGACAGATCAAGAAGACGTAGGACCGCATTCCCAAACCCACCTCGGTTGCCACATGTACGTAGTTGGTTGGGGATCTTGGGGAACGACCAAGAATGGGAGATGCATCTAGAGGGATACATGAGGCGCCGGATCTCCCAGACCCTTCGAACGGTGAGAAAACAGACGTCATATATCGGCGAATGAAGCGATAACCATTTGTCTATCATACTGTACGTATCACCCGGTGTACTCGGGGAAGTATCAGACAGTGCGTATAACCATAATTCTCTCCCGAAACTCGGCCTCGTCATCGCCTCTCGTCTACTTGGCATACCTCTACCCCTTCGTACGTCATCTGACTCACAGATTTTTATTGCACAGACCTCACATCCACACATCGAAACGTTCACTTTGGGACCCCGCTACCCATCTATTACCCTTTACAGCCTAGTGCGACTGCTCGAGCAACCATTCGACCGATTCGACCATTCAACAAGTCCTCTCTTGGCATTATCTTGGATCTTGGAGCTCGGCTCAAGTCATGATGACGACAACTTCAAGCCCAGACCAATCTCCATGACCACACGTCACTTCATGGTGCGTCACATGAAAGGTCGACAGGATCCACAGACACTACAGTATGAACAAATCCTACAGTAGTCTTCTCACGTTGGAGTGAGAAGAAACCATAACGTCAGAAATCGTTCCACGTCATACTACGTCATATGAGATCATATATCGTCCAACCTTCCTTTGTTGGTCGTACAGCCCAAAGACGAAATAATTTTCAACGAGGAGGGAAACCAGAGGTCACATTGACGTTTTAATATATGCGGGGTCTGAGTGTACTAAGAACTCTGACGTCTATCTTGTGAGGCGTGTGAAAGATGAGTCAGATTTCACCGAGCGGTCTCGGACAACGAGGGAGAAGGACAGAGGGGGGCAAGTGGGGGTTAGAAGAAATGGTGTTGAAAGTCTAGACTTTGGAGTAAAAAATTCGGAGTAAGGATGTCATAGTCGGTAGAGGGGCACTGAAGAAGTCGTAAGTTTTGTTCGTTTGTTTCTAGAGTTGGTTCGGTGTGATCTCTTTGAGTTTGAAGGGGGGGGGGGGGGGGAAGGTATATATACCCCTTCCGCAAGAACCTACTCTTCAAACTCAAAGAGATCACACCGAACCAACTCTAGAAACAAACGAACAAAACTTACGACTTCTTCAGTGCCCCTCTACCGACTATGACATCCTTCAGCGCAGACTTCACACTTGTCACCTCTAACGGTAAGGAAACACATTCTCTCGGGAGACTGGATTTCCCCACAACTGCCCCCAACACTACCTCAGCAACAACCGATGTCCCGGTAACTACTCTTGATGACAGGGTCACGCCATACTTGGACCATGGTTCAGCTGATTCCTCCGTTGCAGGCACTTCCCGCAAGAAAACACTATACATGGCGCAACAGTTCGAACTCGCTTCTCGAAATCCTATCCAGGATCCCGCCTCAGTCCTGGGCGCTCTTCCCACTACAGCAGCTACTTCCCGCACGTCCAGGGATAAAAAGTACACTCTCCCGAGTTGGAAGGCCTCACGTGCGCTGGCGAAAAGCTTCGATTATACCCAAGCCCCACCCTCGCTCACTGACAGACCACCAAAGGAGGAGGGCGTTTGGTATGTGTGAGGTGCCTATTCGAACTGTAACCATAAGCGAGGTTGTGTGTGTGTGGGTATGTTCGAGTGGATCACTGCAATCAACGTATGTAGCCAGCAGGTTGACAGGGTTCGTGTATCGCTTTATATGCATACGATATTCTCGTACGATAGACTCCAGTAAGCCGATGCTGCCCCATGGGCTGGGCCGTGTGAATCAAGTGGGGGGGGGATGCAGAAATTCGACAGTCAACGGGAATCATTGGAGAGTCACGCCATTCATCTCATTTCCTAACATAGATCTACGGGAATATTCGCAGTGCGGTGTTTGAACAAGGAACAATGACAATTATGGAGGGGATCATTTGACCGGAGCCTAGCACTCTAGTTGAGGAGGGTGGTCTCAACGATGATGGCCTGTGTGTCAGATGGTGATTACCTGTTGCGCAGATCGGAGTTGACTTACGGTGACACGGTAAGGGTCTACGTTGGAGGCGGGACGACGGTCCTCTATGTATCCTGCAAATATCAGCAATTGTCCAATTTTTAGCTCTCAGATCGGTCGGATCGATTGCTTGATATGGATTGGGGAGGGGATGAGGCACGGGTTCAAGATGAGAAAGGGATGACTTACCATAGCCCTGGGCGGCGACGTGACGCGGGATACGAATCTTCACATTAGCCATTATGACCAATGAAAGCCGAGTAGACTCACAGAAGCACCACGGTGGGCGACGCCAGCCGAGAATTTGGTGATGGATGCAGTCTCATGTTTACCGGTCAAACGCAATTCGTTGTCCTCGCCATAAACTGCGATGTGTTCGAGGTGTTTCTTGCTGAGCTTCGCGATGGCATCATCGATAGCAGCCATTCCCTTTCCAGGAGTACGGATGTCCTTGGTGGAGAAATTGGAGTGACAACCCGCACCGTTCCAATCGCCTTGGAGAGGTTTAGGGTGGAGGGAAGGTTTGATACCCCATTCTTCACCGATACGAAGGAGGAGGAAACGTGCCATCCAAAGATGATCACCCATATCGATACCTTCACAAGGACCGACTTGGAATTCCCATTGAGCAGGCATGACTTCTGCGTTGATACCGGAGATTTTGACACCGGCGTAGAGACAAGCACGCTGATTGTCAGTTCACATACTATCAGAAGTGAAGAAGAGACATACGTAATGAGCTTCGATGAAATCACGAGCGAACACTTTACCGGCACCTACGCCACAGTAGTAAGGACCTTGAGGACCTGGGAAACCCATCTTGGGCCAACCGTAAACTTGACCATCGGCATCGAACAAGGTGTATTCTTGTTCGAGACCAAACCACGGTTCCTCAGAAGCAGCGGCGTCCATGACTTTTTTGCAGTGAGCACGATAGTTGGACTTGTTGGGAGTACCATCGTTATCGTAACATTCACAAAGGACGAGGATGTTTTCACCGCCACGGAATGGATCTTTGAACATGGCAACGGGGCGCTATGACATGAGCCAAGATCAATCTGATGGAATCAAAGGAATGAGGAGTAGAAAGGGGGAACATACGAGGAAAACATCAGAGTTGTCCCCTGGAGCTTGGTTGGTTGAAGAACCGTCAAAGTTCCATTCTTTCAGGTCGGCGACAGAAGCAGGAGGAGCCTCAAGAGTCATGGTCTTGCATCGGAGACCACCATCGCCATCGATCCAGATGTCTGTTGAGGTGAAAGAAAGATGATGGAAAGGAGGGTGGTCACGAACGAAACGACAGATGAGGGGCGGGGTGACATTTTGATAGTGAGGTGGTTGTTAAAAGACAATGGATTGGAGATAAGCATGATGAGAAGAATAATGTCAGCTGATATCCTTTGTTGTAAACATGCCAAGGAAAAGCGACTGACAGCAGCACGGCGGAGATTGGAATGTTATCATCTACAACCGAACTCGAAAGATAAGGGGTTTACGCAGATGAGAGTTCCATGATGGAATGAAAGACAGGTAGATGGGGTGAATGTAAAATAGGAAAACGGTTGTACTCACACTCGGCTTGGACTCGAGTACCCTGGGGAAGGGCCATGTAAGGCGCCAACAAGTCAACACGCTTAGTAGCGATGAGAGTGGACATTTTTCTGTTTTTCCAAATGTTCAAGTCACACGAGGTAAAAGTGACAGATCAGACGACGGGTTGTCGGAAGATGCGTATTTATGAGGAGAGTGCGGGTATGACAGGGATGTAGAGTATTGCAGCAGAAAGAGTGTGAAGAAATGATGTGGAGAAAGAGGACGACGGATGAGGAGGAATGATGGTTGACAAGTTCGGAACGGTTCCGGTGTATGGTATGGGGAGATGAAGGAGGCGATGAAGCAAAGAAACAATGACAGGCGTCAGCATCAAACACTTTCAAATCTTTCTTGGTGTTGATAGGATAACTCACGGATGCGTCTAAGTGATCTATGTTTTCCAAGTTAGGTGATAAGAGTAGGAGGTAGTTGTTGAAAGAGAAATATGACCAGGTGATATGCAGAGAGGGAGGAAAAAGGTGACCCTCCCCACAGTCAAGTTCCCTCTGTCCCCACGCCCGGTCAAATGTTCCCTTTCTTTCATTGCCTATTGCTCAGATTCCGATTGCTCGGCTGTACTGCTCGGACAACCTGCATGCATGTCTTTCTTTTCCTCCCTGTACGGCGTACCTCCTTGCTCTCCCCGCCCAATCTGAACGATGTGATAGGACGCAGGTACCCAAGGGCGATAAGCTTTGCTTCGTCTCTTTTCCCTTCCTCCCCGTTTCGTCCGGAATCTTCCGGACTGTCCCGATATGTCCGAATGTGGCGTTTGGCCATTGGCCATTGAACCATTTAGCAAGAGAGAGAAGGGTACATGGGTACATGATCTCGGTGACAAAAACATCGATACATCGTCTACAGATTACTCTCGACCCGTCACCATTCTAATCATTGACATATATCATACGTAGATCATACAATTCACAGGTTTAACACCACCTGCCCCACATCAGTATGAGCAATCACCTTACCTCCGAAGGGAGGATGAGCACGGGGAGGAGGCCCGGGGTGGTGTGGACCTTTGTGAGGCGGAGGATGTCCAGGAGGTCCAGGAGGACCGCGAGGTCCATCTGGTCCTTCAAGGAACGACGTCGACTCGATTTCCATCAATTGAACCGACCTGGCTTTATCAATACCCAGACCACTAAGCGAACGAGATGAGACATACCCTTCCTCTTCCGGATTCTCAAGCTCTTGACGAGACTCATGTTTCCCAGTCACGTTGACGGGTTTCACAATACCATCAACCAATGTTCCACTTCCCCAAACGACCTGTTTGAGAACTTTAACCTCTTTCCTCTCACCCGTGGTGATGGTGGCATTACCGACGTGAGTCTGAGCTGAGAAAAATCCGTGGAAGGTCTTATGGTCTACCGAGATGGAACCGGAGTGAGTGTGCGTGAACACTTCGGTCTTGAGAAACCAAGGTTGATGAATTTCAAGAGTGATAGAGCCGGTCGATGAGGATGCGATGACTTTAGGAGGAGGGTGGTGAGGGCCATGAGGATGAGGGGGAGGATGAGGACCTCTGTGACCCGGTGGCGGAGGAGGGAATCTACCTTTCCCAGGAGGGGGATGGGGTGGTGGTGGTGGTCCGCCATGTCCCGGAGGGGGAGGAGGATGAGGTCCACCATGTCCAGGCGGAGGAGGAGGGAAACGAGGTCCCTCAAAACCATCTCCTACACCAAACGATCGTCTCATGTTCTCGCTTCCTACATAACGTCGTCGCACTTGCACATTCCCTCGGCGAGACCGCCCATGACAAGATTTCTTGTTCATCCGCATCGCTCCCGTCAGACGACTCCACCAGCCTCCCCCGGATCCTATACGTTGACGATGTGCCTCCATCACCGTGCCATCGTGCATTTCTCCATGCTCCTTGCCAGGTTTGTGAGAATGATTGAAATGGTGTAGAGGACGAACAAAGACAGTCGCGTTGATATCCCCCGTCACAGTGTGTAGTACGAGTTTACGAGATACGTTAAAGTTCCCTTCAATCTTTCCGGTTACAGTGTTGAGGTCCACCATCTGAGCATGAACATTGACGGGGAGTTCGATATCTCCTTGTACGGAGAGGAACAGGGAGTGAAAGTTGAGTTCTTGTGCCGATGCGTCAAGTAACAGAGAAAGCGATGGAGAATCGATCGACAAAGCAGGAATGCGATTTGTTTTGGAGGGAAGCACCAAGTGGACATGATGAGTTACAACATCCATTTCCTGTCTCGTTAGCTTCATATTCCAAATGAACGATGATAAGACTCACTTCAATACGAATCACATGGTCGTGTTCACTAGATGACATTATGACAGGAGTCATCTCATGTGGAATATCCTTCCAAGCACTGACAATACGCAAAAACCCCTCATCTGCTTCATGGCGAGAAACAAAGATCTTCGTATCGGCAAGCAAAGAGAGCGAGAGAGAAGCATGTTTCCCGAAAGTAATAGGGAAAGTAGCTTCAGCCGTATTGAGCATTCGTCCGTTTACTTCGGTCATGATAGGTTCGGAATACGTAGCGTCGACGGTTGAGTACTGCGCCGCAGTCAGCTCGATCCTGCACCATTTTTCATAACCTTTTTGATCACTCACCTCCACAGGGGGTGACATAGAGTAATCATCCCATCCGCCATGCCATTCATCCCGTGTGAACAGATGTCCGACAGTTCTTGCACCCCAGGAAGCGAAAACCATCAAGAGTATCCATTTGACCAGTTTGGTGAACTTCTCACGTCGATGGCCCACGTTGAGGACGACTTGCGATTCGTCAAAAGCACCTTGCTGTACCTGTTCCGTCTTCTTGTCGACATTCTTCTCGTCGTTGTACGACGGTAAAAGAGGGTCTGTCAGACCACTCATCTTGCTAAATCCAAAGAGTGGCGAAGAAAAGACAACGGAAAAACAGTCTCGGAGAAGAAAGGGGTTTATTATATCGTCTCTCGGTCCTCTCTCCTCAGGGAACCGAACTTCGCGCACGACACGAAATCTCTTCACGCACGACAAAATCACGTGACTAGCCGTTAGGCATGCCGCAGAATCAAGTTAGGCGTCTCAAACCACGTGGCTTCTTGTGCACAGATCGCCCTTCCACTTTTCTCATACTTTCAAGTAATATCAATTAACTTCATCACTTTCTGCAACTTACAGGAGATAAGCTATGATATTGAGACACTGACCATCGTTCTCAGGACCCTCGATAATCCCCATTGAATACCTTCCAGTCAGTATAGGCTCTGAGGCGGCCGGAAATTCATGGGGAGAAGGGGTGGAAGGGAGATCAGTTTATCTCGGTCAGTTCTTGACCTTTGAGCCTGAAACTTTTACTGACCAATAGAGGGGGACGATCTCTACATGTCCGTGTAAAAACCAGGATCTTTCTATGCATAGATCATGGAGTAGGTTAGCAACTCTGGCCACAGGACAATTGGGGAGGGGGGGAGGACGGAAGGGTGTCCCTGCGTGCGCCTAACGTCTCTGTGCTGCATGCCTAACGCTTTATCACGTGATTTTGTCGTGCGTGAAGAGATTTCGTGTCGTGCGCGAAGTTCGGTTCCTCCTCAGGGCTTTGATGCGTAGTCCGTGGTCGAATATTAAGGTTTGAGCGACTTGTCTCGGATGATCCTGACGGTGCCAATGGTTTCCAAGCAGCCAGAGTTGGGTTTGCGGGAAAGGACGTCAGTGGTAGCTCAGCGCACTATCACTTGTGGCACGATATCTGTAGGAAGAGGGATACCAAGGAACAGGTTGTAATGCACAGCAAAGGAAGGAAGAGAAACCGAGCTGCGAGCTGCGAAGGAAGGAAGGTACTCTGACTGCGCCGGTACCGAATAAGGAAAAGTCTCCGGAAAACAGCTTCGCAGCTAATTGAAAGTATCCCAACCCTTCATATAGTGCAGATCGGAGAACACAACTATCGTCATAGATGGATACTGCCATACTGCGAGGTCCTGCGGAGGAAACACCACCAATGAGAGGTACTCGTGACGCTAATGGAAGTCTAACATGTGCAATCTTGTTAGAGCATGACTATGTTTGATACCTTCTTGGATGAGATATGATATTTGAGATTGACGCTGACGCGAGTATGTACCAACGGAGAGGAAAATGAGCAGGCTCGAGAGGTCATATCACCAATCGTCCCAAGCCGAGGGAGACGAACACTGCTCATTAGCTTAGCTCGTACCTACATGTGTCGATTCGCCATACGTACCTAGTCCTAACACCGCAGTGACTTTCCCCGCAATCAACGGACTTCCCGGTGGTCTCATACGTCTGAAAGTTCCCATGGAGTTGGCTTGATACAGGGCGTATACCCCCAATCCGGAGAACGCAGCTGCTCCTGTCAAGCGACAGGCCCTATGGAGTCAACGACACGACTATCCTATTCAAAGGAGACTTACAGACAATCTTCCGGCTTCTCCCTCGGTAGTCTTCGTGTATTTATTACGTTTGACATACTTGCTACCCCTCAACCCTCGGGTCCTCGAATCCTCGGAGAAGGTGAAGAAAGCCGCCTCGGATCCCACTTTACTTACTGCGTGGGGAGAGAACGTGGGGCTCCGCACCGCATACCCCACATCTCAAACTCCCCCATCCCACCCAACCCGGCTCAACTCGCCATCTTCAACATCTACTCAATGTCCTGACATGTTGCCACTATGGGGCTTGTAGCTCATCTTACCTACCTTTTGACTGTCCTGTATGATCCTACATGGCTGAAAACTGGAGGGCCAGGCCCACCGTCTCCCTCCCTGCCCGGCACTTACGTGTCCATCGACCAGCTCGACTTATGTCCAGTCCTGACCCCCCGTTGGCCACCGCCGAAAAGTGCTAAGGATGTGTAAGTTCTTCATTACTTCACAGACTGAGTTGGTCGGTCATGCTGAACCTCTAGGAGACCAGACGACTTCAAGGTCATCATGTCTATAGGCGATTCCATCACCGCAGGTTTGGTCGCTCGACCCTACCCTGATGACCCAGAGGCGGCTCATGATATGCAAATACCACACAGTCCTCGTAAAGGGAAACTATTCAGTATGTTTTGAACAAAAATCATACGTAGCTGACACGAAGGACCTCAAGTATGGGAAGAATACCGTGGTCTCTCTTATGCTACGGGGATGGACGACGACGCAATCTCTCTGGCCAAAATCATCTCCCATTACTCCCCGGAGCTCGTTGGTGGGTCTATTGGTCACCACCCTCCGGTATCTTGTGCGGCAAAAGCTTGCCACCCGGATACCGACGGACTGAATGCGGCTGTAAGCGGAAGCGTGGCTGCCAACCTGTTGTCCCAGGTCGACGGTGAGCCGCCATCTCTCCATTGAGACAGCGTAGGAAATTGATACCGCTTCACAGAGTATCTCATCCCTGCTATCACCTCCCTGAGACTAGGAGACGAATGGAAATATTTGAACCTTGGCATTGGCGCAAACGATCTGGTCAGTCCCTTGTGTTCTCTTGAGACGTTTTCTGACTCTTTCAGTGCGCATTTTGCTTGTCGCGTAAGGTCGTTTGCTTTTTTTATCCCACATGTACTGACCATGAGCAAATATGACACAATATTCAGTTTCAAGAACTCCTCAACAATTTGCCCACGACATCAAGCACGCCGTCGAGCACCTTCGCAGTCACGTCCGTGAGTCTCGTTTTCATTGTTACGGGAGGTTTAGGTTAACGTCCAGGAAATGTCATTGTCAATATCGGTGAGCCGCAAAATTTACACGCTGAGAAGCTAAGTTGTAGTCGGACTATTTCGAGTTTCAACAATTTACAAACTAACACGGAAAGATCCTTATTGGTACGCCTCTCTTTGACACTCTCGCAAAGCGCTCACCGCCCAGTCAAGGACCTTTACTACCGGCCATTCCACACCTTCCCGTTGAATGCTCCTGTGCTTTACTACCAGGTCCAGCGGGCGACTACACAAGGCAAAGAATGGATGAGCTCGGTGAAGCGTACGATACCGCCGTTCTGGAAGTGATACGTGAATGGGAGCAAGAGGATGATCCCACATTTGCGGCCATATGGCAACCCGGCTCAGCGATCGATCTGGAACATTGGCCAATCGAAGCTTTATCACCGGTCGATTGCTTTCATCCCTCTGAGGAGACTCACCGGAGAGTGGCCGCGGGGTTGTGGAACAGGCTCACTCTTAGCTTGGTAAGTAGAGACAATGTCGAGCTGGTTTGGACTGATGCACAGGACGATAAGGCCCGGCCGATATACTGGGAAGATATTATCAAGGTGAGATGTCTCCAGGAGGAGGATACGATAAGAGTTGGTGAAATTGGCGATCGAGAAACAGTAGGCCTCATGTGTGAGTGGTCATCGCTGTCCCCATTTGTTTAATATATCATGAACTGGTAGGTACAGTATGTGCGACCCAAGACCCGGGAAAGTACACATGAATATCCCATCGTAACACTCTAAGACTTGCAACGGAGCTGACGATCATGCAGAGTGGAGCTTGATGCATCGATTTCGAACCTTTACGACTGAATGTACCTCCCCTCCTCGCAATGGAGAATCAAAACAGACTTCCCCGTCACTCTAAATTGTTTCTTGGTCGTAACCGCGCCTGGACTCTCTCTTCATATACAGTGAACATCTGCGGGGTCCCTCAGTGGCTTGGAGTAGTTGAAACTGTGGACTTTTCAACTGTCTGAGTCCGCTCAGGACGTCGCTCTCTCACTCGTATCTTCCGTCTTGACCTCTGGGGAGTCACTATCTCCGCTGGACGGCATCTCTGTCTTTACCGTGAGGAATGGCAACATTGTGGAGGAATGCTCCTTGAGGTAAGTCTCCGTTTGACCTTTGATCTCAAACAAATTGTGTCCCATCGCTTCCGCCATCGTTCCAAAATTAACCCAGAAAAGGCTCTGCAGTCTTTTCTCCTCCCTCTCCTTCAGGTACTTGGTGAAGCTGACTCGGTCCACTGACAACTCCACAGTTCCCCCGATCTCCACGGGCTGCTCTGAAGTGTCGTCATGACTCATTATGAGAGTAGTGTTGACTTCCACGCTCGGCTCAGCGGGAGCGAAGACAGCGGCCTGGGTGCACAATACAGAATTCTCGATTTCCCACGATCTCTCTCTCTCTTTCGGACCGGCGTTCTCGCTAGCGCCCGTCGGTCCAACATGTCCACCGGCCATGAGTACTCATAAGTTATACTCAGGAGAATCGTCTCGTCCTCTAGCACATATCTGGTGTAATCTGTCTGCCGAAAAGAGACAAAGTGCCGGAAATTACGCAACCCCTTCTCCGTTGAGAACTGTGGCCAGGCTGTTGTATGGCAAACGACCTGGTCAACAGGAAGAGGTTGATCGTCGGTATCGCTCGTGTGTTCTTCCCTGGCTCCAGACATGTTTGGTTCGAATATTGTAAGTCTAATCTCGAGTCAAATCAAAGATGGTGATGGGCGAGGAAAAAGAATTGTTGAGAGGAGTCACATTCATGAGGCTTTCCTCTCGAAGCGTGATGATTCTAAGCAACGTGATAGACAAAGGAGCTTGTTGGCTTAAATCAAACATGTGCTACTGATATCATCATTAATATCGGCTTTCCTTTCATACGGAGGATGGGATAGGCTTGACACATGTGACAAACTGAATGCACAGCCTTACGACGAAAAACGTGAGTGTTTGATCTGATTTGTGAGTCTTCTTTTCCGTTATGAGGACATCGCTCATACAATAAAGTGATGAATGGGAAAGGTTACGGATGCTAACTTGCTGGCTGCTGATTGCTCCAAGAGATGCTCCAAGCGTGAGGTCTCGTAACAACTTATCACATCTCCTACATCCTCATGAAACAAAGTTCAATCCTCAAAAGTCGTCGTCTTCCTTCTTCATATCTTCGTGAGTAATCTCCGTCCAGTCATAATCCACTCCCCCCCAATCTTCTTTCTCATCCTCTTCCACCTTCATATCCTCTACTTGAAGCGTCTCCCAGTCCACGTCCTCCCGCTCATCTTCTTCCTGTTTGATATCTTCCGACTCATCACATTCGTGCTTGATATCCTCCGACTCGTCTTCCTTCTCAACGTAAACCAATGGAAATAATGACGTTTTGTTCGTCTGCACGAAATCTCCCAAGTGTTCACTCATCCGATTTATGTCAAGACCTTGCGCAAACGCAAATTCCCCAAAGGTCTCACCAAACATACATTGCAAATTTGTTCTTTCCTTTTCAAGAACTCTGACGAAGGTCTTTTTGTCAATCGGTAATGTCACTGTTGCTCCAATCTTGCACTCATGTTCCGTCAATTCATGGAGATAAGCCCACCTGACAATAGCGCTTGCTGAGGGTATAGGGGGATCGTAACAATCAATCATGGTCCTCTGATACGAGTCTCCCGCATCCAATTCATCCTCCGAACTTTCCAATTCCCATCGAGCCAACATATTGGTAGGCCAAGAATACTCATATGTCATTCTCACCAAAATCCTCTCATTCGTTAACACATAACAAGTGAATTCCTCTTCCTTGAGATCAACATGGTATCGAAAATTGCGCATGTACGTACTGGTGGAGAAACTGGGCCAAGTAGAGGTGTGTACAACAACCGTCTTTAGGTCAGATGTGGACGGCATGCTTGTGTTGGTCTGTTCTCTTGATGATGACATGATTGTTGACGTCGCTCAATGCTGATAGGAGGTATGTTGTAGAAGGACTGTTGATGGGAGCGGAGGAGGAACGGAAGAGGCAGGAAAACCACTTATTAACGAGTTCGTTAGGGGGGAGTTTTGGATCACGACATGTGTCGAGTAACGTCAAAGGTTCGAGCCATCTCTCCCTTGGCTCTGGACCAGTCACGTTTCATTAGTCCTTACATGTGAGTACCTCCTTTCATGGGAACGAGATTGGCTGATACGTGTCTCAAAGAGATCTGATACAGACCATATGATTATATAGCCCCACTCAAGAAAGCTATCAACGTCGATACGTCCGAGGGAACGGGATCAGTCTCCGAGATTAGGAGGGAAGGGACGAATCAATCTCAGCTCGGTGTCCCGCCATCACCAACTTCCCCTTGATGAAACTATCTTTCAACGGATTCTAGACAAATCTGTTAGTTTGAGGCGTCTGCCTATCAAGTCACTTCATCAAGATCACTGGTAAGTTTTCATTTTCACGCATTTAATGAGTAGCTGATGGACACAGACCCTCGTCATTCGGTGTGGATTGAATCCTTTAGCAAGTAGGACAGAAATCAGTTCGGAAAACTCTCATCAATTCATCGTCATCACTAAAACTGGATTCCATCGACCTTCCTGCTGAATAGAACATACACAAGTTACTGTGTGAGAGAAGATGGAGTGTCTTCTACATTCTCACTCTTGGGCGCTAAAGCCGTTTGCGTTGAATCTTCCGCTCCATCGCGAGGGTTGATCCAGCTGAACCCTAAGGTCAACAATACTAATGTCCCGGTCTCGTCATCCGGTGACACCAAACCGACACGATCTACCGTTGGAGTTTCATTGCCTCGAGCTGAAAACACGATGGCGGCAGATTTTAATTTCTGTTCTTCGATATAAGTCATGACGTCTCCGGTGAGTATCCAATCCGATAACGGCTCCGCAAGCTTTGTCATTGTGTTGCCACGTGTCACCATCGCCTTTTCTTTCTTTTCTTCGTTTTCTTTGTCTTCTTCTTCTTCTTCTTTCCGAACTCGTTCAACCTCATCCTCTGTCGGTTCAATCATAGACACGTTGCCCGGATACCTGACCATCTCCACTAGATTGCATAACACTTGGCGTCGACCCACCGACCCACCCGCACGGTGTCTTGCCAGGGAATCCGGCGTAATCCGGTCTCGGGATGGGAGAACTCCTGCATCAGCTTGGTCGAGAACTCATCCTCTGGGAACTCGGGGCCTTGACTGAGTATCTCTCTGGCTTTTGCGGCCACCTGTTCTATGCCATGATACTTTATCTGGTCGCTCTCAACAGAGTCTTGATTGAAGGGTCTGCTCTTAAAAGGCTCAAACAGGGAAACAAAGTACTTCTTGATCTGGACAGTCACCCTCGGGGCCCCGTTGACCGAGTTGACTGCAGGAACTATCAAGAAGTCTGTGGACCGCCAGGTGCCTCCTTGTTCATTGACATACCTCATGAACTCAGGGGAGCGTTGAATACTGAGTGCCTTCCTTCTAGCCTCGGTGATCGGGTCGGAGTCACCAGTCTGAAAGACGCTCAGAAACTTGGCTCCACCGACATCGGTCCAATTGAGAAGCCTATCGCTTGGTTGTGACATTTGATCTGTTTGAGTAGAGTGTGCAGTTGTGAATGATTTGGGTTTCACTTTGAACTACCTTATATCCTCTGAAACCTCACATAAACCCTGAGCATTCCCACCCCTTACAAAGGACTGATCCTCCATGAACAAGCTCTCATATCCTGCCCTGGACAAAGGATAGCCTGGAAAACTAGACATTATATGTTGATTCGGAGAAAAACATCGATCAATGATGAAAAGAGAGGGAGGGTACGGTCGAGGCCGTCGTCATGGGCGGTTGTCTTCTTCCCCAGTCCACGACGCTCCTTTCATTATCGTATCGTTTGACAAGTTCCGGCCGAGGCGGAGGATAGGGGCGATGCTAAGGTTTCGACGTCGGAAGTCGCAAATGGGGACCGCGAGGCGATACTGAGGTCGTTGATGAATTTTCTCACGCTGTCAGTGACGTAGTCAGACGTCGTGAGTAACTTCTTGCACTTCTCGCACCAGGAAGCCTGTTCACCATGACGCGTTCTTGAGTCCACGGTGACGTAGTAAGCAGATCACGAGATCAAAGGAAATATTCGTGCATCAATGGTCGTTTTTGTGGTATTGATCTCGCGTCTTGAGGTGCGCTCTCGAAGACTGCTTGTCAGCAGTAGTACTCGTTGTAAGTGAACGACGTGCCCTTATACTCCTGCTTCAGATTCTCATCCAGCTCCAGTATACTGGCTACGTTCCCACATCTATCGTCAGCACCGCTCTCTTGGGTTTCGCATGAGAACCTACCTGTAGCAGTAATTGGGCGCGCTCCACACTGTCACAATCTTTTGATCAAACATCAACTTCGATTGTCAGCATGTGGATCGCTTTCGTAGAAAACTCACCTTGTACCCCTCCATTACCAACTGATGTGCCCGTGCTATGAGTTCAATGTCATTATGATGGTTGAAATGCTTTCTGTCAGCCTAGCTTGTGCCGATGTGACTCACCTCTACCACGTTGGCACCAAATAGAAAGCCGGCTCCTCTAGGAGACATTCCCCAGCCGTTCACATCTTTTGATGAGCGTATTACGAAAGATAGAGCGAAGAGCCTACCGTCTGGGTCTGACCATAACAAATCACACATGGGTCCTTCATGCGGGACCTCCTGTCTTCTATCTATGACCCGTATCTCTCTGTCAGCCCTGTTGCCGACGGAGTCGCTGCGTGCTCACCTGATCCAATCGTGCGACATCGGGGCTCAAGCCTCCATGCACGCAGAACACTCGGCCATCTACTACGGCTCCCAGGGAAAGATAATCGAAGACGTCACAACAGTATCGCCAGACATTACTGGAGCCGTACTTCCGCTGACATTCATCATAAAATCCGTAAACTTGGGTAATTTGGCGCGACTCGTGGTTCCCACGAATCAGTGTGATCCGATCTGGATATCGCACCTTGTACGCTAGTAGTAAGAGAAATGTTTCGGCTGAGTAGAAGCCTCGGTCTACAAAGTCGCCTATCAATGAGCTGATGTCGAGTTGAAGAGAAAAGCAGCACGAACCCATGAAGATGTAATTTGTTTCGGGACAGAACCCTCCGATGCGGAAGAGCTCCATGAGATCGAAGAATTGTCCGTGTATATCGCCGCATACCTGTGATATGTTAGCTGTGAAAAGTCATACAGGTCCATAAGGTCACTCACTGTGACTGGAGAGTCGACATACTGCACATTGCCCTCCTCCATGAGGATCTCTTTCGCTTTCATACACAAATCCTTGACGGCTGCTTCGGGGATGATCTCGCATCGTTTTAGCTGAGCGATCTGTCTACAGCGTGTCAGCGTGTAACGACATGTGCTGTAACGAGAGAATCACGCACTTGTCCAAGTCGGACGACATCCCTCTGCGGTGTACAAATGTGAGCAAGAGACCGACAAAATCCCCAGCTCTGAGAGTCGCAAAGAGATTCCACTTTGATATCTACCCAGCACCCATCTATGACACTCTTCAAGTGAACGTTGGAAAGAAGTATGAATGGGGATCTTTGAAGGAGTGAGAGGAACCGCGATAAGTTTGAAAAACATAAAAGTGGGCAAAGAAAGTGGGACGGTGGCGAGACGGAAAAGGGTGGCGCAGATAAGGTGCCTGATGTCATCCAACCACTCTCGGATGGCGAGCTGCGAGCGAAAACCTGCCCCTTGTTCAATCCCACCCAAACATGTCTTTCAAGTGAGTCTCGTCATATGCCACATTGACCATAGAGCTGACCTTGCTGTAGGTTCAACTTTCCCACTTCCTCTTTTGCCCCAAACTCTTCTCAAGGCAACCTTCCCGCCTTTTCCTTTCCTTCCTCCAATACCACCCAACCATCTCAGTCTGCACAGTCGGCGACGATGACCGGCTCAAATCCTTTCAGCCTGAATCTATCCAACAATCAGTCGTCTCAAACTACTCAAGCAGCACAGACGCAACCAGCGGGAGGAGGCTTTTCGTTCCCTTCCCTCGGTCAGAACAATCAGCAGCAGCAGACTTCGGTCCAGAATCAGCCCGCCGCCACTTCAACGTCGGCTTTCAGCTTTGGCAACAAGCTTGGACAATCTACCACTGCTCCTGCGCCTGGTGGCTTCTCTTTCGGAACTCCACAAAATGGTCAAGGTACGACCGGGGGATTTGGAATCACGACCGCTAAGCCCACCACCAATTTTTTCGGCACTCTGGGCCAACCGTCGACAACGACTCAAACGAGCTCACTTCTCGGTCAACCGCAACCGCAGCAACAGCCTACGTCAGGATTACTTTCCGTTGCTACAAACCAGTTGCAATCTTCCACTTCTGCTCCCTTGACAATCAGTAAAACTACCAAATTTTCCGAACTCCCTGAAAACATGCAGAAGAATATAGAACAGGTAGAGTGAGTGATTCATGTACAAGTACTTCCGTGCTGATGTCATCAGCTCATGGATTAAGGAACAAAAGAAAGCAGGAGAGGGATTGCTTACCGAGCCTCTTGGTAGAGCTATATATCAAACTTCGGGGGAAGTCAAAGCCGCTATGGAGGAAGGAACTGCTTTGACTCAAGGACTAGCGGGACTGCATGCCTCTCTGAGTCAGCTTAGAGCAAAGTTCGTGGCTGAAGAAGACGATCTGCGACGGATAGCGGAGATCTGGGAAACATATAAAAGCGTAGATGGAAGGCCTGGCGCTATCCGGGTTGCCGCTCACAGGGATTTCCCACAAGAGTATGTCCTGTGTCGTTTTAGTCCACCGCCGAAATCAACTCACATTCAGCTTTTTCAGTCGCGTGGCCGCCGCTATGGAAGAGAGGGTGATAAAATATCGTAAAACAATATCTGTGAGTCTCAACAAGGCAACGCAAGATCGTTCTGACCAGAAGCAACTCAATAGGGCCATCGGATCTTTGGCCCACGAGAACGAATCTCCATCGCCCGAAGGCAAGTGGACCATCTGATAGTAGGACCCCAGTTGACAGGCAGCAATCGCCACCACGATTAACAACCATCAAAACGCCTTGTTAACTCTCGCCGCCCAACTGGAAGGGCTACAGTCTCGCATGGCAAGTCTGAGAGCAACATTTGCGTAAGTTGAACGTACGGTCACCAGTCTCAATTTGCTGACATGCAGTGAGACCTACAGGGAAAGAACAGGATCAATGAGAGATCCGTTCGACGTTGCCAGAGAAGAAAAAGGTCTCACCCTTATCCGGACTTAGAACCTTCACATACATATGTCCGTCACGCACATTACGAATTCTCCTTAGCATCGTCATTCAGTCATGTGTAATCGTACTCTGCTCTTTCTGGCCTTAATCTTCCTGCCCACAAGAGGGCGTGAGCACAAAATTCGGCTATAAGTGTGGAAATCAAGCTGTCGTCAGTCATCACATCATCCTTTGTCTGAATGAGTGAAAAATGGAGTATGGAGTCAAAGCTTGGCAGTATCTGAAATGACAGGATGGGAGAAGATGATGTGACACTGACAATTTTGTCCCCATTCCTAATGCGATTGTCGAATCTTGGCCAGTAACAGTTTGTTGCGTCCCCACCCCGGCGATTATGAGGACCGTGACGGCGAAGACTGTGTTCAAGAACAAGGGTACGAATGGTCTCGGACCCATGAGCCAAAACCCCATGCGTGTTCGGAGCGAGAGCTTTTTACCCTTGGGTGTTTTTGGAAGGGCCTCAAACGCTTTAGGGTTGATTTTCCCGGGGAGCATATAGGTCACAAGGATCCATATGGTGCACACCAACCGAATAACCACGTCTAACAATGTCAATTCGAAGTCATATTCTTCTCAATGATGATTGGCTTACTGATGATGAGCAAGATGGAAGCTGGTCCCAAACTTTTCGTGATTGCTCTAACTCATCAGCACTAATACTCCGATTACAAAGTGATTGAGAAGAAAACGGATAAATGTGCGAAAAAAGACGTGCGAGAAAAACTTACGAAGCTAATCCCAGATTCGTAACTCCATTCTTATCCGCATCCGCCGGTAGAGTCCAACCACCATGAAGAACACATTTCTCCTCTCCTACTCTATTCGTTTCCGTCGTACCACACCAACCCCAAACACCAAATCCCCAATGTGTCAGAGTAGTCGTATCCGTTCCATTCGGCTGCGCTACCCAGAGTTCGACCAACCAAAACCGATTTCGTAGTGCGATTTTGGGTTGTGTAGCTGCTGAGTAGTCAAGAGGGACATTTCGAAGGTAGATGAGGAAATACAGGACGCAAGCACCTAAAGAGATGGCGAAGGCGAGGAAATGTGTGAAGAAGGCTGTTTTGACTTTATTTCCTTTGGTGTAAACTCCACCAGGCATGGTGAGTCTCTATTTTGATTTCCACTCTCCGAGAATATGTCACTTCAACTCGCTTGTGTGATTCAACACCCACACTGGAACGATCCTTTTCTCTTGACCTTCTGCTGAATTTGTGGAGACTGAGTAACACCTTGACTCCAGGCCAAGTTTTCCAAGAATGAATGATCGTGGTGATGTTGCGTATGGTCAGTGAGGAGTGGGAAGTTTGCATCATACTGTCATCATGGTAAGTGTTAGAAGGGGGGTGGAGAAAGAAAGGAGGTGGAGGTTATGTTAGATGAAGGAGGAGTACAACTTCAAAGGATCTACCATTTGTGGAGCTCCTTATCCTTCTTTCGACGTCTCCCCACGACTCGGTCATTTCGACGTCATTCACAAGAACCACAACACGTCATCGGAACTGTGGAGCCGACACATCTCATCATAGGTCGCCGTGCGCCGTATAAATACCCATATTCTACTTGTTCAATCCACAGAACTGGAATAACATAATCAAGGGTATTCTAATCCTTGTTCACCCGCCTTTTAAATTCCATCATGCCTCCTCGGATGGATATCCGCGCTGATGGTTGGACTTCTCACAGTGCACAACAACGGTCAGAAGAGACGATAGCGAAACGAGCTCGATCATCCATGTCACAAGAGCTATCATCCCGTCGGAACACCTTGGCAGATTTACTCAAGGAACTTGTGACCGATATCAATAAGGCGCTCATGCAGAATGAGCCGGCTGTGGAACTTGCTACATCCATTAGAGCAGGATTGAATGAAATGAGCATTGCTACAGATCTGCAATCAATGCATCATCATAGTCAAACAGTCAATAAAGATATTCTGGAACTTCAGAGGCACTCGAACACAGGGTGGGCTTCGAAGGTAATCGATGATTGTTCCACGGTTTTTGAATGTACTGACCTGACAAATGAGGAAATCCTAAAGCAGAAAAGTCCCAACCTGCAATCTATTAATGTATCGGAGGCTGTCAACAGTTACACAGTCTTTGCTGATAAATTGATTGATGTTGAGGATTGGAAGGGATTGCAGACCAGGTGTCAAAGAAACTTGAAGGATTTGGAATGACAAATGTTCAGCAATTTGAAAATATAAAGCATACTTTGAATCAGGTGAAAGTAGCAAGTCAACAATTGAATCCCGATGATGGAAGTGGAGAAGTAGGAGACGATGAACCAAGAAGAATATCCATTGAGGCTACGTACTCAACATGAGTCGTCATGACATGAGGTAGATCCCGTAGAGACCGCAGCCGAAGGTAATTCTAAGAAAGAAAGATGATGTGTATTTCACCCGTGGTTGGTGATCGTAGACATCATCACCGGTTGATAGACTTTTTGGTCCAGTGGGAACGGAGGGTGAGTTATGGTTATACAACCGAAGCGTGGGTCGTTCATGCTCCATGACAGTAAAGATGACATACTACAGTACTCTACTCGTAAAGTTGTTGCCTAAGCGCTTCAGGAGCAGTTTCCAGGAATATGATGTTCATCTTATGGAGCTCTTTCTTGTGGGATGAGCGTTTAGTACTCCCTAGTGAGGAGGCATGAAGTACAACCATCCCTTGAGTATTGTCCCACGTCAGATCCGTCAATCTGACTGACCCTGATGAGAAGCACAATATGTTCCGTCACACATTGGTGACCGTCAGAAAACTCTCTCCCCTGATCCCCTGAACTCTTTTCAATGTCAATTTCAGACAGTCACACCTTCATCCTGGTTATTTGACAAGGTATCTTTTTGTAGATTCACTGCATGCATCTGTTTGACTGAGAAATACAACTGCATGACCATTCTACAACATATGACAAATACAACCGACACTCGATTCGTAATGTCAAATGAGTCCAAAGATATTCTTAACACTTTCTAATCCCAACATTTCCAACGGGGTAGTTAATAACTTCATCCAAGTTCCTCTTAACAATAAGAAAGTCACAATCATCCAAACCCAATCTTTTTCCTTTGCATGTACGATTTCTCCTCTTGATAACGCCGCACGTCTTCTGGCATCCTGTATCAACCCCTCGCTCGGGTTTCTGGCGGGGGCCAGCAGTTCTCTTCTTCCAACTGACCAAAGACCTAACCTGTCTAATCCGATGAACCGCTCGAGAGAGTCACGCCATGATTGTAATCTGAGAAGGAAGAGGAAAAGGAGTGTTTTGAGGAGATCACGTTTACGATTACGAGAATAACGAGGACGAAGTGTTGTATGACCCGGTCTGTCAGGATCGGGAACTCGGACTGCTGGATAACCAAACCAAGGATTTGAATTGGCAAAAGCGGGTACTTCTTGTCCTACTACTGATTGTCCAGCAGGATCAGAACCCACTGGTGGTGTCCCGCCAATGGTAAGTGAAGAAAAAGATTGTTGTGATGAAGATTTATTCGGTGGAGCTGATGATGAGGTTCGTAGATGCGAAGGAGAAGTATTATACTTGCTCATCGCTTGAGCATGATGTCGCTGCAGAAAATCCGAGTATGTGCGAACTTGACCGCCTCTTGTTGACGGTTGACCCGATATACCTTGTAACCGTAACGGAGGTCTATCTCGTCTGCTGGCTAAATCTTGAAGTCTCTCTCTGATGTTAGGTTCCAACATGGCTGGACGTAATGCCTTTTTAGGTTTAGGTAATGGTGGTATATCATCCGCATCGGAATCTGTCAAGATATCGATGTTTGCAAGTCTTGACGGGGAAAGATAGAGATGAAAGTCGGTGAGTGATTTTATTCGAGAAACATGTGATTTGACCGGAGTCGTAGGTGCATCTGGGTGAGAACTGGAGGATAGTTCACTGGATCCTTGAGAGATACTCGATTCACCGGCTTCGAGTTCTGATTTAGGACATTGAGAGATACGAAGTTTGTTGAGTAATGGGACATGCCCAGTGGACATGCTTTGTCTACGACTGGCTGAACGACTTTGTGCTGGTGAGTTTTGTGCAGTATGATATACGTCGGCAATGGTGGAACACGATGCGGAACGTTGGGGTGGTATCACCGAGTCTTGTTCATATGCGGCGCAAGTGGAATATCGTTCGAGTATTGGATTATTAGATGGGTTGAAAGCGTATACAGCTCTTCCTCCATACACTTTTCAGTCAGCACGAGAATACAATAGTATTGAACAGACTTACGTGTGGGTAATCGATCCAGGTCAAAAATCTCTTCAGTCCTGGCGGGACCATCAAGGAAGAGAATTTTGTCAAGAGCAGACCGAGGCAATACCCTTTTGATGACACTCCACATACTACGATGGGTCCAGCCAGCATTGACGACGAAAACACCTTCGAACATTCCGGGAAAATTGTTATGTCCGACTGAGAGAAGAGTAGGGAGAAGCTCAACTTCCTTTTCAATCAGCAAAAGGTTCAGCAAAGAACACGTTAAACGTACTAGATTTCGATACCCAGCTCCGGCTGCATCAACCAATAAAACACATCCTTCCGCACCGCGCCGCCGACGTTTTTCTTTACCTTTATCTGTACTTTGAAAGATATCTTTGGTCCACCAATCTCGCAGAGTCCGTCTGATCATCTCCAATGCCCACCACACCATCGCCTTCAAATCGTCCAGTCTACCATCTCCGTCCCTTACGACTTGCTTGAGGGTCAAGACCGCCACTGGTCGATTGAGACGGTCTGTGAACTTCGGTAAAGGTAAAATATAAAATAAGCTTGATTGAGAGTAAGGTGGATAGTCTGGTATTCGACCATGTAATGAGCGAGAGATCCGAGTTTGCAGGACTTGGAATAGAAAGTCTTGGGCCTTGACAGGATCATATCGATTTCTCTATCACGTCAGTGGCGGGAGAAATAGACAAAGGACGAGACTCACCCGTAGAGCACGGTATATCGACGATTGATCATCTAGCCATTCATCCACACCCAGTTGAGTGATACGATCCCAGCCTTCTTGCGCACGTAGCTCGTCGGCATCTTGATGGACGGCCTGCTGAACGCGCTCGGTCAAAGGAAGATAAGCTTGGAATTCTTGCTGATTACGACGAAATCGTTCGGCTTGCGGGGAGTCTTGTTCGAGGTCGACACTCATGATGACTTTGGTCTGAGAGGGAAAACGAGGAGCATGACAGTTTAAAATAGCGGGATATAGAGAGAGGCGAGAGAGTTTTGTTGAGGCCAAAGAGTGACTTTATGAGTTTACGTAGTGGCCAAGTTGAGACGAGACCGATTCGGCAAGGACGGCAGGACGGGCCGAGTGTGGCAGGTCGATTTAGACAAGGTGGAGCCCCACCTAGACAACCTCGCATACAACAGGTTATGAGCTGTCGTACAAGGTGATAGACATGTATGTAAGCATGTGCATTGATACATTGATGCAATGGGAATCGAATGAGACCGACACAGATGCAATGTGCATGTACATGCGATGACGTCGATGTGAATTGTGTGACGCAGTGAGGGGGGAGAAGCTCACCTCAACCGGGCGAACCGGATTCTTCCTTTCTTCCATCTCACATATTTCACTCCCTCTCTTGATCATCTGCATCACTTCCTCACCTCCTTGATTCTATCTGGGCAGTATGACAGAACCTTCTCCTGTCGCTGCTTCAGAACAGCGCGCAGCTCCAAAACATCGGTACACCTCGTTATCATCCCTCATGACCGACACTCCAGACGCGCCGGTCGCAGATGCAAAGTTTGCATCCCGCAAGCCTTCGGGACATCTACAAGCGGCGAGACCGGAACATAGTGGAGGGTCAAGTACCAGTAGGAGCAGGAGTAGATCCAGGAATCGGAATGGTGGCAAGGGCAAAGCTAAGGCGGAAGAACGAGATAGACAGTTGAGCACGTGGAAGATGTTAGCTTTGACAGTCTCAATGGGGGGAAGTCAGGTATGTGTTTTTATCTCTATGTGCAACTCTCAGTAGCTGATTATTGAGATCGCCTGGACAGTGTAAGGTCTCATCATGGTTTATCTGATCAAGCTCAGACCTCAGGGAACTGGGATACGGTACCCCGTACCTCCTATCGCTCGGTCTTTCTGAACAACTCACCTCTCTCGTCTGGCTCGCTGGTCCCATTTCAGGTCTGATCACTCAGCCACTCATCGGAGCCATCTCCGATTCGTCTCTTTCACGGTACAGGAGAAGATATTGGATCGTAGCGGCGACCGTCCTACTCGTCGTCAGCGGGTTCGGGCTGGCATTTACCGAGCCCGTCGCTAAAGCTCTGGTCGATTTGTTCGGTGGGGGAGAGGGCGATTGGGATCCGAGGAGTGCTGATCTGGTAAGATATACCGTTTGATGACTCTCAATAGCCGTATAGCTGAACGTACCAGGTAAAGAAGACGGCCATTGGGATCGCTGTATTTTGCTTCTACTGTTTGGACTTTGCCTTGAACGCGTAAGTGATAGCAGGTCTCACTTCAGGGACGATATTGACGAGGAGGCTTCAGGCGTCGCTGAGAAACCTTGTGCTGGATATCACTCCCGGAGAACAGCTAGCCACTGCGAATGCTTGGCACGGGCGGTTCAATCATGTGGGGAACATCATCGGTTTTACCTTAGGCGAGTGATACGGATCATCCTCAGCGCTCGTCTGACGAGGTAGGCTTCCTGAATCTAGGTCAAGTACCGATCATCCGTCTTCTAGGTGGCGGACAATTTCGAAAAGGTGTGTGAACATCATGCTCCCAGCTACAGGGAAGATGCTACAAGTCATACAAAATACGTGGAACTGCGCTGACTACAGTCTGCGTCGTCGCCCTGGTCCTCCTAACATTGACCGTATGGATAACATGCTGGACTCAAGAGGAGGATGAGCGGGAAAGCATTTTTGGCGAGAGAAGAGCGTGAGTCCATGAGCACCTTGTTGCGACCGTTGCGTGGCTGATCTGAAGGACTCTTCGTAACATCGTCGGCACCATATACGAGGCTGTCTTGCATCTGCCAAAGCCGGTTCGAAGAGTCTGCATAGTGAGCGACAACCTCACAATTAATGACATCAAATTGACTGAGGCAGGTACAAGTCCTAGCTTTCACCGGGTGGTTCCCTTTCCTCTTCTAGTGAGATCTGCTCAGAGTTGATCAACATCTTGACTTACGACATAGTTCTACCACTTACGTGGCTGAAGTCATGGCCCATGAGATCGGTCGAGAACCGGACATCGATAAGGCGACTCGTGCGGGAAGTCTGGCGCTACTCATATACTCTTTTGGTATGTCTCACTCTATGCTCGACTCTCACTAATGAACAGTCGCCATTGGAGCCGGCACCCTTCTGCCATATCTCAATGCCCGCGACCGAAGACTCCTACAGCCACCCACGGAGAAGATTGAGGACGATGAAGATGAAGAGGATGAAGAGATGGACAGAATCCGAGAAATGGTCAGGCAATGGAAAGCTGAAGCTGCGAGGGAAGGCAGACCACTTAGTCTCCCCACCAGTATGTCATTTCCACTACATCGGTGGAACAGCCAAAATTGATCTCACAAGTGCCTTTTATGCTTCGAAATATATGGACGGCTGGTCTGTTACTCTTTGCTATCCTCATGGGTTCGACATTCTTCGTTTCCACGGTTTGGCAAGCTACCGTCCTGATATCTCTCGTCGGTATCTGCTGGGCGATTGCCTGTTGGGTGTGAGTTCACCCCGTCATCTTTTTCCAGTATGACAATGGAAAAGGCTGAGAACTGACGACAGACCATTCGCTATCATCATGGAGTTTCTCAAAGAGATGGACGATGCGGCTTCATCTCCTACCAGCGTCACTCAAGGTCGGACACAACGTACGAACCCTTCTTACACTGCCCCATCGTCCGCTAGACCCTTTCACTCTCGTGCAGTGTCCACCCCTGGTGGGCCGTGGGGCTCTCAGCCAAACTCGCCGGCGCCACCACACGAACGGACTGCATTATCAAGGAGCTGGTCAACTGCCGATTTGGAGACAGCAGGTGAGAGCATGGAATATACAGGTAGTGGACCTGTCGCGGGTGGGACAATCATGGGCATACATAATCTGGCTATCGTCATGCCACAATTTGCTGTGAGTCAAGTTGACCTGTCATGGTGAATCTCTCGAGCTGACTTTAGATCGCCGTCATCGCTTCGCTCATCTTCCAACTGGTCGATGGATCTCCTCCTCCAAGCACTGGGTTCGAAGGAGAAGTCGGGGCCGCACAAAAGAATGGTGTGGCTTGGGTCTTACGTTTTGGTGGTTTGATGGCTTTGGTTGGTCGTTCACTCCATTTGAGTACAAAGCTGATGTGACAGATTGGGGCTCTGATCAGTCGGAAAGTACCTCCAACAAAGACGGAGAAAGCCATGAGAAGACGGTTGGCAGAGATGAGAGAACAAAGTGAAGAGTGATGTTCTGGTGTTATGATGTTATGATATTGTCATCCGTATAGTCACTGCCTCTGATCGCGAAGTTTTATGCATCTCACGAAGGTTGTCAAAGGCAAAGGGTCAGTCAGATATGAGCTTACTCAAGGAACAAAGAAAGTTCAGAAGAAAAACCTCCACGTCGATGAACACGCTTCTCACTTTCTTTTCACCTTTCTCCTATCAACCTCCCTCCCTTTCTCTATCTCCCCTCCCATAGTACTAGTGGCCATGATCCCCAATACACTTCTTGTAGCTTTGTCATTACTACTTTTATCAGGGTGTATAGCCGCTGAGTCGCTGTATCAGATCCTTGGATGTGAGCTGCTCCTCCAGCCACCCTTTCCTCCAGCCCACTCGTTCATCCCCAACCTACTTCTTTGGTCCTCCTCACCGCCTGACATCTTCATAATCTCTCATTATATCATCTGCTCTCATACTTGAGATATCAGCTCACGTTTGCAGTGAGAAAGGACGCTTCTGACGCCGACATCAAGAAAGCATATCGGGTGAGTCCCTCTCACCACTTACATGTCAACGCATTCTGACTTGAAGAAATTGTCAAAGAAGTATCACCCCGATATCAATCCTGATGAAGCGGCACATGAGAGGTTTATAGAAGTTTCTAAGGGTTAGTCCTGTCCTCTGACTGTTCTCTAACTGTTGCTCGACTCTATGACTATTCCATCTGGGTGTGGCTGACGACTACCAGCGTATGAAGTTTTGTCAGATACAGAGGTACGCTTCTTTTTCTCTACACCCTTGCATCTCAGTTTGATAGGGACAGTAGGGAGAGAGTGATGCGGTATGAATAATGAGCTGACCTTCTAGACAAGAACAATATACGACCGACATGGCGATGCGGGTCTAAAGCAACATGAAGCGCAGAAACAGGGAGGGGGAAGAAATCCACATGATGTTTTTGCTCATTTCTTCGGAGGAGGAGGTCCTGCACAGGAACAAAAAGGACCTAGTATGCTCACCAACGTTGAAGTAAATTTGGCCGACATGTATACTGGTCGGAATCTCGAGGTGAGTAATGAAGCTACATCTGGGATAGTCTATCAAGCAACCTGAACATGCTCGGGGATGGGAGAGATTGAACTGATGCGCAGTTTCAAGTCCCTAGAAAAGTCATATGTACTCATTGTCATGGTTCTGGTGCAGAATCAGAGAGTGACATACACCAATGCACCCAGTGTGGAGGACAAGGTGTCATAGTACAACGTCAACAATTCTTCCCTGGTATGGTCGGTAATGTTCAAATGACGTGAGCTTTTCTTCATCCGTGTCTTTGGTTAATCGAGCTGACATATAGCTGTCCCTCATGTGGAGGGAAAGGCAAGCAGATTCGACGGGCTTGTCACTTATGTCACGGTAACAAAGTCATCGATACTCAAAATACCTTGGCTGTACATATTCCTGCTGGAGCACCAGAGGGGTATGAAGAAATCTTTCAGGGTGAAGCGGATGAAGGGGTAGACTGGGAGGCGGGAGACGTCATCGTACGTGTTCGTAGTGAGCGTGTTGAAGGAAGGGGGGAATGGACGAGGAAAGAGTCCGGTATAATGGGAAGAGTCACACTCAGTGTGGCCGAGGTAGGTCTATATCAATTTTGATAAGTTTGGATTGCTCATTTCAGGCATTGTTGGGTTTCGAAAGAAATTTGACGCATCTTGACGGAAGAACAATATCCATACAACGAAAGGGCACCACACAACCGGGAGAAGTCGAAGTGATAGAGGGCGAGGGTGTTCGTGGTATCTTCTCTTTTACGTTACAACGCTAACTCGCAGATGCCATCGTTCGGCGACATACCTCAAGGCGATATGTACGTCGAGTATAGCGTGATACTCCCTGTCGAAATCGCCGACGATACGAGAATAAAACTTGCGGATTTATTCAATCATCAAATTTCCCACATCTCAAGGGACGAATTATGAGAACTTAGACTTGCATGTCATCTTTTCCAGCATAATGTCATACACCATACATCTCACTAATAATTATCTGTATCACCTCATTTATCTTTTCGGTCGCTCTTCCGTTGTCCTCTTTTTGACTCTAATCCACTGACTGCATCCCATCCTCGTCTTCCTGTCCACTCCTTTACGGCCACCGATTGTGTCCTCGCCTCCTCCACTCCGACCAACCAGACTTCTAATCTGTGTCTGTCTCTCTCGACCGGTTCAGCCGGCTGTCGGTATCGTCGCTCCTCAGTGAACGCCCACAACGGCCCAGAGGATGCTGATATCTGTGGGTAAACTCCGGGAACGAAATGTCGGCCATGGAGTGGTCCAGGGATAGGGCGATATGTGGTGAGAGGATCCGGAGAGGCTCTAGCAGGGTTGCGTTCGAATCGATTCCTATCACCGAAAAGAAAATTGTTGGAGGGAGGGAGTGAAGCATGGAAACAGCTTCTGGCAACGGTCCGTTCCATCCTGTCGTAAGCCAACATCGAATTAGGGGAGGTTAATACGACTCACGGGACACTCTTCAATTTTTCTGCCGTAGGACATCCAATACGACCGGAGATCTCCTCGGCATTGACAACGCTGAAAGACCGATTGGACTGTGAGGAGTTGTTCTTGCAGCTTGGACTTTCGCTTGGCTGGGAGGGTCCAGGGGAGGTACAGAGAGGCTCTCGCCGACGGCCGCGACTTGCGCAGAACCTTTCCATCCTGTCATCAGCCGTCTCCGAGGATCAGTCGGGCAAGATTCGTTAGAACTCACGGGACTTCTGGAAGGATTTGGTTCCTCGTCTTAGTCGGGGCGACTGGCCGTGAAGGGTTCTCGTTACTCCAAGTCCTTTCCGTCCTGATATCAGTAAATGTACTCTGGGATAGTGGTGACTCACGAAACAGCCACATGTGGAACAGATGGACCGGCAAGTGCCAACTTCGAACCGGAAAGTCGATAGGGTAGCTTCGGTGGTGGGTGGTCATGATCAATCAGGTTCTCCGTCCTGGCAGCTGGACGAGGAGGCTCGATAAGAGGCTCGCGACGATGGCCACGAATTGCGCGGGTCCTCTCCATTCTGTCGTTAATAAAGATGGTGAGATCGCTGGCAGGGGACTACTCACGGAACATCAGGGAGGTCGCGGTGTTCGAGAGCGGAAGGAGGAGAGATTTGTGCTGGACTGTTTCCACGGTGAGTGCTCTCCAGACTATCATCAGTGATCGTCTCATCATCCTTGATCAATGACACTCACATCCTCCCACCGGCCCTGCGGGAGGTGACACCATGAACCGACGTCGGGACCATTGGGAATGTACGGGGTGCTATCTGAGGACATGTTGCTGTGCTTGTCGCGTTCGGAGGGCCGCCAGCGGCTGCGAAGAGACGTGATGATGAATATGATTCGTCTTTGATACGCATGAGGGGCGGGACGGAATGCGTGATGGGTGTTTGGTGATACGTGAGTAGCGGACCGAAGGTCGAAGGTCGAGGCATATGGTAATTGGAAGATTAGAAAGTGGGGAACAATTTCTTCCATGGCTGCTATATAAGCCGTTCTCGGGGTTGACTGCCAGCCATTCATGTCTCAGCTCGTGTTGTTGGCGACGATTGAGATGTCACGCTAACGAATAGTCACGCCTCAACTTGAATGCTCTTTCGGGCAATACAGGTGTAAAATATAACCACTGCCACCCAAATCGTGACATCACGCGGAGTCCGACGGCCACGGGACGATCGACGATTTCAATTTGCGAGTTCGCGTTGCAAGATTGCCGCTTGCGCGTGTTCAAGGTCTTATGCATGTTACAATTTACACACAAGGATACACAGTAAGCTACATTTGTTGTTGTCATCACAGTCAAGCTTATACATACAGGCATTCACCTTCACTACCATATCCCATCACCTTCCGTGCGAGTGACTTGAACATTGGCTGCACTCATTCTTCCCCTCTCGTCTACCTCGACTAGAATGTTTCGACCCATGTCTTGCCAACGCCTGTGCTTCCGCCGGCTCTCGTCGAAGAGGACTGCCGGCTATGGGAGGTGTGAGATGACGACGATGGTGATGATGAGCGCTATGTGAGTTCATCGATTGTCTTTCCCTTTCCTTCTCTCTTTGTTCGGCGACACATTCTGCGCATCCATCAATGGGTACCACGGGTGCGCGACGAGGTCGGGCGTTTGCCGAGTTTGCCACGGGAGGTTGAAGATATACGCTGGCACCTCCCAAGGGTTGTATGGCAGGTTCGAACAAGGAAGCTGGGTTCATTCGGGCGTGATTGGCATATGATGATGGAGCTTGTAACCATGCCGCCCCGTTGTTGGGATTGGCAAGTCTGGGTAGAGCACCAGCAGTTGATGACATGTCAGGTGCTAAACCTCGATGTAACCTTCCGGCACTTCCATTCCATCCATCGTCACCTCTCATTCCACCCAATCCACCTCCATCGTAACCTATCGACGCACCTCCAAACGACATTGCTCTCGAACGCGGTACGATTGCCGATCCACCAAGTTGAGAAGCTGGATAAATACCAGATCCCGGCAACTCTGGACCGAATGCTTGTCCTTCGATCATATCAGAAGCAGGACGATAAGTCTCTCCTTGATACGGCGCCCAAGGGTTTCTCATCCCATTAGGGAGAACATTACGTGGAGTTCCGGCTAGACAATCTACGGCTCGTGCTGGTCCTGTCGGAGGGACCCCTGCACCGCCACCGAGTGGAGGAAGTGACGCCCAACCATGTGATTGTGCTTGACCCATGAGTGCATAAGCGTTTGGATGTTCTAGACCGTGAGGAAGTTGTTGTTGATATCGGAATGGAGCAGGGGAGACGTCCGTTGGCATGTTCCAGGCTTGTTATTATGTCTTCGAACTTTGGGTTTGTCAAGGGGAAGTATGTGATCGCGATGACTACTTCTCTTTGATTTCTGGAAGGCGATATGAGTGGACGTGGGAACGAAAAAAAACCTGTATAAGAATGTTTGCTGTGTAAGATCCGATATTCAAGAGGAGTGCGTATTGAAGTGGAAGATCCGAAATAGTAAGATGATATAAATTGGGAAATTCTGTAAGTGGTAAACTACTGACTGACAATGACGATGACGCAATTTAACCAATCTTTTTTTCTTTCTTTACTGATTGTTCTTTTCCCAAGATCCACTCAAATTGAATAGAGGGAGGAAAAGCCGAATGACGATTTTTCATATAACATAAAGTCGTTTATACCCTTCTCTTCCCCTACCCTCCCCGTACACCACGCAAGAGTTTCTGAACATCAGACAATTTGACTGATGAAAGGAAAGGATGGAGACGGTAAAAGGTCGTGGAGGTCATACACGTCACACAAGGTCAAAGGACCGATATAAGTGGAGCCCCGTTCGACCTCGCGGAGTGGGGGATGAGGGATGAGAGTGTGGTGTGAGAGGTTTGGAGTGAGCCAGGAGGGTCAGGGGTTAAGAGGGGTTGGATAATGATTGGATGAAGGTGTTGCTTGATAGAGTGAACTTCGGTAAGACAATTTAATTTGATTTGATGACTGCCGAACGGTTTCAAAGGGGCTTTGTGACAGATGACCGACAGGTTGGTCCATTCACTTCGAAACTTGGAAATGGGACGACTAATGAGACACGGGATTGTACAGCTTGGGGAGTTGAACCGATGTTGATAAAAGATATCGTTCGGACCAACCACTCGGTCGGTTCACGTCTCTTCATCGCTTTCTTATTACACCCTGTGATTCCTTCGGATCTTGGTACTCTAATTCTCGTCAAGAACACCATTCGTGGTTGTTTAAGTAGTGGGAAAGTCGGGAAATCGGACCGATTGGAAGTTACACAGCTTTCCATGGACGTCGATGTTCCTTGTTGACCTAACATTTATCGTTGGAAGACCATTGAATTTGTTTTAGACCGATGACCGAACAAGGTGGAATAAATGACGAAAGTGTAATGGACGATGATGATGGGATGATCATGGTGAGTATTCTGTGTTCACGTCATCTCATAAAAACCAAGGGAGTGCACAGCATGAGTAGATGCATGACAGGATGATGAATATTTTGAACTGATAGCTAGTGAAATCACCCACACGACCTTTATGCTTCAACCTTCCCAACGATCTCCTTCCCCTCCGCCCCCTCGTCGTCTTCTTCCAAAACACCCACTTCCCATTCCCCACTCACATCCCATCGACTTCCCGGTGCGCTTGCACTCAGGTATTTGGTGAATTTCATCACACCTGGATCACGGAGGACGAGTACGAGTCTGTTGAAACATACAGCTTGCGTGAGGAGAGGTCCATCGTCATTGGCGTCAGCATCTGAATCCGAGTCGAAATCAGAAGGAGAAAGTTGGTCTGGATCGATTTCCAATTCTATCGTACCGTTGGCATCTTCTTGATCCTCTCCGTCCTCTAAATCTCCTTGCCCATCTCCAGATTCCTCCTTTGGACGGTCTGCCTGAGACGATTCACCCTTCGAAGTTTCATTCGGCTCTTGAGTGTCGGGTTTGTTTCCTAGCTCGTTGTCCTCCTGATGATCGTTGACCTTGACTGCGCGACTACTTTGATATACCGCTGGATCCTCATTCTCATCCGGCGCAGCTAGATAACAATCCCACCCACCATGTTCGATAAGCCCGTCTTCCTCGTCACTCCCCGGTTGTACATCCGCCCACCAAGTAAGACCAAGACAAACGTCCAATCGTGCTTCTCCATTCTTATCTTCTCCATTGGCAAGTGTATAATCTAGACCATGTCTGAATCGACGACCTTCGGCTCGATATCCGACCGGAGCGAGGGACGAAACGACAGACAACCAAGCTCGGAAAGCTTCTGACGGTATTAATTCGAAGAGGATACGATGAAGATGAGGGGTCCGTGATGAAGAGGAAGAGAGAGAAGCATAGCGATGCTTGGATGTCGGTCCTTGAAGTTTCCATCCATCCCCTTCACCAAGGTCCTGGGGAGGGATTAGTCTATCGGGATAATCTGCTTTGTCGACGGCTTCAGTCTCTCTCTTGAGTTCCTCCGCGAGTTCTGGAAGAAGGACACTGTGCATGACAATCTCTGAAGCAGCGGCGAACTGCTGTGAGAGTCGTTCGAGTGTTTGTGGATTGAGGTAGGAAGGGGCTAGGAAGTCCGAGAGAAATGTGAGGTGAGTAGGTTTGAGACCGAGAGGAGGTTCGTCGTTGTATGGTGTAAAAGGTATGGTAGGAGCAGAAGTCTACATGGTGAGCTATGGACGGAACAGTCATCGTTAGATTGCTCACGATCTGAGCGAGGGAACTGAGATCTTGCTTCTTCTTGGCGGCATCCTCAACTTCATAACCTTCTTCTCCTTCCACAGGTCGATGAAACCTGACAGTCAGTGATGCATACAATGCTTCTAAAAGAGAGACTGACCATCCACTGACACCCAATCGCTGTCGGCCGTCCCCCACGATAACTTCTTCCACTGAATGATAACTTCTCCCTGGTTGAACTTCGAAAAAGACTATCTGACCCCATTTGACATCAACCTTGAGGGTCCGCTTCACCCCTGGAAGTCCAACTTCTTCTCCACTCTCCACAGGATAGAGTTCAAGTGCACCCCCCCAAGCAGGGTTCCAGCCCTTCAGGAACTGACCGTCCGCAGAGATGATGAGGGAAGTATCGGAAGAAGATGGGGCGTCCAAAGGGGAATTTGGTAGGTAAAGGATGAACGAGATGAGCCTAGTTGAGATAGAATCATCATGTAGCAAAAGATGTGATCTGGTATATTAGCTTGTAATTTGTGAACTGTGTGTACATGCTAACCCTTGTGTGTATAAACCTACAGACAAGTCCGTTTTAGAACCTGATAATGGTCCACACCCTGTGACTTGCCGAACGAGATTGCGAAATTCTTGTGAATACAGGGCGTTCTTCAAAGCGGCACTTTGAGGTAGAGCTCGGAGTGTCCCCTCAGGTAAGTGCTTTGGATCAAGAGAAGATAAATCAGGTGTTTGACGTATCTAAATATCAGGACTTTTCTTCATACAAAAAAAGAAGCTCACCTTGTAAATATCAGTTTCTTTCTGTTCCCAACCCCATCCTGGAAGACTACCATCTTCTCCTCGTACACCATACGTTTTTGTCTCCTCGACGAAGCTTTCCAGCTGGATATCAGAATAGCTCTCCTCAGGAGAACAGTGAAAACATACCAGTTCATCGCTCAGCAGTCCTCCCACAACGGCATGTCGATAAGGAGTAGCTTGAAGATAATTTTGTCGATGTACTCGTAAGTCCTCAACTGAGGGCGATATGATACCTTTTATCGATATCGACTCTCTCCTTGTTCTCTTATTCGACTGCTCAAAAGGACTGGGAGAACGACTTCTTACCTTGACCGTCATTATGAGATGGGGTTAATGGGTGCTCGTGCTACAGTAGAAACAGTTGATCGAAAAATTTCCATGAAAAAGGAACCGGCATGTGATCGATGACATAACCGGAACATTCATTCCCCACAAGCCCCGTCATATGACACACACTCACCCACGTCTCTCTGTCTCTTCTTTCTCTCTCTCTTCCTCTTCACTATCATCACCTGTATTCCTCTCTACATTCCCTCCGATCAGTGATATATCCTCACGATGGACACCAACAACCTTGAGCCAGAGATCGACCGTTTCGCACGAAGCTTGGTCTCTCTTGACCCGTGAGTTCTCACATTCCACTAATCCGTCAGGTGAATGCAGCTGACACGTCAGGATTGATTATGACGATTGCATCAATGAGTTCTTCGAAGTGAGTTGTTTTTACTCTCTGCCATATTGGAGCTCATTCATAGGCCAACGCTGTCTTTGACAGCGGAAGGATGCTCGTCCACGGGTCCTCGAGGATCAAGAAGATCGCTTGGCTTTTCGCTACTCCCGCCAAGGAGAGTGGCCTCGTAGCCAAACCAGAGTACGACGAAAAGTGAGTCGATTTGTTGTATCATGACACTTGATACTTTCGTTCACACCACAGAACTCAGCTGCTTAAAGTCAAATGGAAACGCACGTTTGTCTTACCATCGATCCCCTCTTACCTTCCCATCATCTCAAACTTTTCCAGAGCTGAACGCACTTTCAACGCCTCCGTCGACTTTCATCTGGCGGCGGATGACGGGGTTGGAGAAGGCGATAATACGACCTCTGGACGTAAACTCTACGTGACGAAGATGGGACCGATCCATCGGGATTTGTTCCCTCTCGAAGGTCTCATGTGAGTACATAGTTTGATCTTCGATCGATGCGTAGACATCGCTGATCCGTAGCCCGTACTACTTCATCAAAGGTATCTTAGGTCTGATCGCCCTTTTGGTTGCAAATCTCGCCCTTTTCTACCGCAGTCACCCTCCGTCCCAGGGTGTCCCTCGTATGGTCTTCGTTGGTGTCTACGATACCGTCGAAGCTATCTGGAATTGGCTCAACGCCGAACGTGCCAGACGTCAAGCCATTGCAGAGCAGTGGAGAAGCGGCAAGGAGAAGGATCTGCGCGAGTGAGTACTGCCATTCTAGTTCAGGTCCCAACTGACACCTAGCTTTCTCACAAATGCCAAGACTTCCGCCGGGGACTTATCCCAGCAGCTTGAAGCTCGTGCCAAGAAAGCAGGCATTCCCGTGGAGGACTACAAAAGAAGGGCGTCGGCGATCATGTCTGAGATGCAGAAACGAGCATCCGAGGCTATCATATACTTTGAAGGGAAAGAGAAGGACGTGAAAGCCAAAGGTCAGTACTCAAGGCACCATCAGAGTTAACATTGATGCCAGCAGTCAAAGACACAAAACAGGATGTCCAGAAGAAAGCTCAGTCGACTCAAGGGAACAGTGGAGATTCCCCCCCTCAACACCATTCCTCCGGCTCGGAGCATAATCACGAAGGCTCCGGTTCCTCTCACAGCCGTAATGACTCCAGTGTCTCTCATGATCCTGAATCGGCTAATGCCACGACTGGTGAGTAACCCTCTAGAGGCACTGAAACTGGTGGCATACTGATGACAGCAGTAAACGATACTAGCGATGAGGAGGAAAAGCAAGAACAAGAAGACCGTCCCCGGACCCCAATGGGCGGACACGACCCTACCGCTCCTAATGCTCCGTCCTACGCTCAGGCTGCAGCCAACTAAGCGCGGTTGACGGCACCTTACAAGGAGCTTGTGTATAACGAAAAAGACGGATAAGATTCAGGAACAATGGAAAATGTGTATATATATAGATAGTCAAGTTTCATGTAGCGCCACCGAAATTTATGCACCATGAGTGAAAAGATCATCCCGGATTCCCAACGTTCAGTAGATGATTTCAATGTCGAATCTCCCAAGTAATTTGCTGGGGGAGTTGGACTTCCGTATACCCCAAGTTTCAGACACTTGACCTCCTTCTGCATTGTCAGTAATCATGGGGAGAATAGGACTGACCGCCGACACTACAAAACGCGTTACCCGATCAAGCTTCTGACACAGTTTTAGCTCCGTGCGAAATTGTCAAGACCAGACCGAAGGTCGAAGGATCTGCGTCGAGGGTGATGAGCTACTTGTAGGGACTTGAACTAGTTGCAAGAGGATACGAGGGTCGAAGCAAATAGTTCGAGGAGTGAATAATAAGTTTCGGCAAATGTATAAGAGAACTTGTATGTTGAGACAGACAAGATACATTCGTCGAAGTTGTTCTAAGCTATGCACTACCTTATGTACATGGAATGAGAGTGTAATGTAGATAAGGGTGGCTGGTAGTGTTTATCGGTGGCGGGTAGCTGGATATTACCCGAACTAGCAACTTCGACGCACGTGGTCATGACAGAAATGTTCGTCGTTTGATGGATGCTGAACGACTTGAGATATGACCAAGTATGTGGAGGTGGACCGTCACTCTATATCGTGTTGAAGCACACCCCCTAGCCGTCCGACAGGCCACGGTGTCTCTCAAGTGCACGACAGAGGCCAAAAACGGAATGTGAACTACGTTGTTTGGAACTTTTCATTCAAGAGCTCGCTGTTTCAGCGGTTAACACACTCGGTTTCGTGGTGTAGCTGGTTTATCACATAATCTTAACACGCACGTGCATGTTGAGCGGTTATGGTCCCCGGTTCGAGCCCGGGCGAAATCAACCTTTTACCATCATCGGTTTCATGAACCGATAGCTACAATCATGTAGATGCATATATAACCATATCAATAGTGAAAGCTTCAAAAGTTATTTAGTAAATACACGCCCGGTGCTCTTCTGTAGGCATTCTGAACCTATCGGAGCAAAGATTAGCATGATTATACCGCAAACCAGTTGCGTCGAAACACAATCAAGAAGGGGTTTCGGGAGGAGCGACGCAGGTGATGCCGTGTATATTCACTCTTGGTATGGAACGATCTGCTTGTTCAGTATGAGACGCCATCGAGATCCACTGACTGACCTCAAAAACCAATGGTGAGCTCCTGCTGCGGGCACTGAATCCTACGCCTGCTATCACCTCAGCGCTGGATCTGATTGTGATAAGACAACTCACTCTCCTGAGCCAAGGACTAGCGCGCCGGTGTCCGACGCCAATCTCTGTTCGCTCCCGAGGAGGAGGAAAAAGTGGTCGTAGAAGCGGGTCGTAAGGGGAGAGATGCCTGAGTCACAACCGCTGGAATTGTGGTTGGCATCGATAAACCGTGGATGTCTGTGAAAGAAGTAGGAGTTGTTTGGACGATGGGATCAGGACGTTTCCTCTTCGGAACGTGGACGAAAAATCCCGGAGTTTCTGTGGTCGTCATCGATAGACCACCGATGTCTATGGAGGAGGTAAGATTTGGTTGGACGATGGGAGCAGGACGTTTTCTCTTTGGGATGTTGAGGAAAACACCCGGAAGTTGGGTACGTTGTTTGAAACGTGCATCATCCGCTGGTTTGATGGTGGAGCGGTACTTGGCGTCTTTTGCAGCGCGAGCGGCCATGATGACGTTACGGTTGAAACTTTTCGAAGACGAGTTGCGGTGGAAGACAAAATCGTAGTAGTGACCTGAGGGGGACGGTCTTTGGCACAAGTATTGTGCTAAAAGGGGCGAGCTGGGGTCCACTAAGTACCAACCATCATCGCGCATTCGCTTGTTCGATACCCAGCCTTTTTCATCGTGAGTGTCATTATACATTGTAACGAGTTTGTTGAGGTCTTGCGCGTAGTAAGACTCTGGGATGCGGGATTCGGCAACATAAACTGCTATGGTTGTATAGTATGTTGGTGGTAGATAACGATCAACGGGATAAAATTTGAGCTCGATACCCAAGTTATCGCGAATAGGTTCGGTGAGTGATGTCAAACGCTCGACATCGACTGGGCTCGATAGACCTACGAAACCAGTAAGACTAGTTTCCGAAATGTTGACCTTGAACGGTTAGGTAGGAAAGTATCCTCTGTTTCCTAGGGTAGATTTGAGGTAATTCGTCACGTATTGTTCCCCATGATCCTTCCTGTTGAATTGACTCTGTCCTGAATTCAAATGACCTTTCCCAAAGTACATTTCAAACTTGATCAGAGTCACTCGATCTGAATTCCGTGATCCATCCCACCTGCATACTAATCCTCTTGCTTCCAGAGCCGACTTCATGGCATCCAAGGCTCTCTCGTCAACCGATCGATCGAGGTGTCGTTCCATTGGAAGTCTTACGACCGCACAAGAAAGTTTGGCGGCAGACAAAGGTTTGACGTTTTCAGCGACGAAGAGGGTCATGTCGACCTTGACGGGACCAGCAGGGGTAAGTGGAGGAGGGGGAAGTATGATCTGAGGAATTTCCTTGAGAACTAACTGGAGTTGTTCTTTGGCCGAGGTGGCTGAAGAGTTATCGAGCTCGTAAACCTTGATACTGCATGGTTCAAAACAATAAGTGAGAAGATTATAATCGACAGGGTTCTTGATAAGGGAACTACTTGCACCAGCGGGAAGGGGAATGGCTCCAGCGAGTTGAAAGGGTTCACTTTGAACAGTCAGCTTCATGAGTCATATGTGGATGATCGGCAATACTGACCGAGGAGCCCTATGCTCTTCTTGAAGGATAGCTACGCCGGACATTGTGGTAGTAATACTGTATATGAATCGCGGTAGCAATGTGATGAAGTGAAAGAGTTCGTGGGAGGGGTATCCGGTGTCGTGATTAGGAGTACTCCTGGCTGTCGCTCTTGAAGTCCATTGTAGATGTTGTATATACGTTGTTGTGCATGACGCTGTCCGAGTTGCTCCTCCGTTGAGATGCCTCGGGTAACATCCCTGTTGTCGATGTTGTTTATTGTACTTGATGTTGAGGATTCCTTGTATATGTCCTCTCGGTCACGTGAGTCAGCACGAGCCACTCTGGAATGCTACTCGTCCGCTTAATTCAATTGTGTAAAAAGTCTTGAATTTTTGCTTGAATTCCCCGAGGGGCAATGTCTTCCTCCTCTCTGCAGCTACTCGTCTGTGCGAGCACCGTGGCCATGCAGCGAAAGCAATCGTGATCAGCGCGAGGCACATATGCATACAGAAAGTGGCCAAGACTAAAGTGAACGAGATGGGTATCACGATATAAGAACATGAGAAGGGGAAGATAGTCGAAGCAGATTATGACGATGGCTCAGTCAAAGGTCACTTTACTTCCTGAAGCCGGGACGATACCACCGGTTCTAGCACCCCTGACCATTAGCAATTGTATCCATATGATGAATAACACTCACCCTCTGGGAGCACCGCGTCCTCTACCACCGCCACGACCACCACCACGGTCACCGAAACCACCACGACCGCCACCCCTTCCACCTCTACCACCCCTGTCACCTCCATATCCTCTGTCTCCACCGAATCCGCCACGGCCACCTCCACGTCCCCCACGGAAACCTCCACGACCACCGCCGCCGCCGCCACCTTCTCTATCAGGCTTGGGACCGGAGTAATCTACTCGGATCCTCCTACCGGATAGCTCTTTGCCATTCATGGCCTCCAGAGCGGCGGTAGCTTGATCGACATCGGCAAATTCGACATACCCGAAACCTTTTGGGGCACCAGTCTCGCGATCGGTGGGAAGACTGACACGTTGAATATCACCGAAATCTCCGAACGCTTCATAGACGGCATCTTCGTTCAGGTCATAACTCAGACCACCGAGATACAGAGTAGCGGCGGGAGCTGATCGCTGGTCATTGAACTTTTGTGCACGACGCTCGACAGGGTTGTCGGTTTTTTCGGCGGCAAAGTCACATCGGATAGCACGACCATCGATCTCGTGTCCGGTCATAGCGACGGCTTTGGCAGCTTCTTCAGCTGTCTTGAAACGCACGAAACCGAACCCTTTAGATTTCTGGTTTTGATGGTCGAACATGACACGGGCTTCGACGACTTCACCACAAGACTGGAACTCTGACGCGAGCCACTCGTTGTCGACGTTCCAAGAGAGACCACCGACATAGACGTTGGCAGTGGGTTCGGCTTCCCCATCAGTGCGAGACTTTTTGGCGGGAGCTTGAGCCTCTTGGTCGGCTTTACGTTTACCTACATGTCAGCGGGAATACATTATTAGATAATAGCAACAGATAGTGGAAGTGAGAAGGTATTATGGGAGTAGGAAGCGGAGACCCACCATGCCCATTGATCTCAGATTTGACAGCAGGTTTATCCTCCTCTTCATCAAGCTCGTCCTCCTCGTCATCATCAGAGTCATCACTGTCCTCTTCACTCTCTGCGTCTTTGGCAGGAGCGGAAGGCTCCTCGTCGCTCTCGTCTGAACTTTCATCGTCACTGTCTTCTTTGCCCGCGGGCTTGGTTTTTACACCTTGCGCTTTACTTGGCTCATCATCAGAATCGCTTTCTCCCTCAGAATCAGACGAATCATCCTGAAGGTCAGTACTGATAGAGGGGCGCCACATCTTCATACTGACCTCGGCCGGTGTGACAGCGGACACTTGTACTTTCTCGTCCTCTGATGACTCATCCTCTTCTGATGATTCCTCATCTGAGGATTCATCCTCTTCGTCCTCTTCATCTGAAGAGCTCTCGGAAAGGGCAGGAGGAGGAGTAGGTTCCTTTTTCTTGGACTTTTTCTTTTCCTGAGAGTCAACCACTGGTACACATCACACCTCGTCTGGGATGACTCGGGGATCGACTTTAGGTATGATGTCGATGAACCAATATGATAGAGAACAACATATGGAATGGAGAAAAACTTACTTTGGTGGCTGTGAACGGAGCAGGAGCAGGGGGGACCTCTTCTTTTACCTTTTTAGATGATTTCTTGTCTGCGTTGGCTTTAGCAGCGACGGCGGGAGGCGCGGATGCCTTGACGGTGGTCTTTTCTTTCTTGGCCATTTTTGTAAATTGTAGGAGGGGAAAGGGGAAGAAAAATATAACTTTTGGTGGGAAAGAGAGGATGGGTGGGAGAGGAGCGAGTGAAGAGGGAGACACAAATTTTGAAGCCTAAACTCTCCCCCCGGTTTGGCGGTGCCTAAATCACGTGACTGAAATCTCCACTTTGGCGGATGGAAGGGTGTCTTCGGTGGTCGGTGGCGATCGATGAATATCGATGTGCTGTCCTGAAGTGCATTCTACCAGATCGTCCATGCTGCATGCTGCATGCTGCTAACTGAGACCTGGTACCTGCATCTATATGCTTCATAAGAAGAGAAATAAGCCACCAGCTAGCAGCTAGCAGCTCCTTGCTCCAAATTTCCATTCCCATTTTCTGGCTCTGGGTTGTCGATGGTAAAATTGATCGTGATCCGGAAAGAGAAGGGGTTCCAAACCCACAGGGACACCTGATAGCACTCAGAAGACCATTGTAAGATCATCTGATACTTGTGTGCCCTCCACCATACATTACGCTGTCCTCACCATCCCTCCCGTTACTCTCAGTGTGGCAAAAGCCAGGTGCGACTTCGGCCGAAGACCGCCGCGTAAAACCGGACAACTTGATCCCTGAATCTTCTTCACTTGGTACGGAAAACCACCCGACCAAAACGACATTCCTCCTTTTCCTCCACATTCCTTCAACTTCAAGATCTCGTCATGTTCGCTCGTTCTGCGCGGAGCATCGCCACTCCTCTACGTACTCTCTCGCTGCAAGTGGGTCTATTGTCTCAGTCACCTAATCTTAGCTGACCGTCAGGCCTCCAGAGGGTACGCTTCAGCTGTTGAATCCGGCCCCACATCTGCATTTGCGGGGAAGAAGGGAGCAGACGTGAGCTTACAGCATTGTGGATGTCGGTCCAGCTGATAGATCCAGGGCAACTACCTGGTGACTCTGGTTCCTGGTGACGGTCAGTTCAAAATCATCTCTGAGACATTGTATTGACTAGTAGGTATCGGTCCTGAAATCGCCGATTCAGTGAAGGAGATTTTCAAGGTTGCCAAGGTGAGCTGCGTCGATATGTATTGTGGATAAGATACGCAGCAAGGAGAAGATGTAGTAGCTATTGGTTCTTGAGCTGACAAGTAGGCTCCTATCGCTTGGGAAGAAGTCGATGTCACACCTATCCTGAAAAATGGCAAGACTGTCATTCCCGATGATGCTATCAAGAGTATCAAGTCCAACACTGTAGCTTTGAAAGGCCCCCTAGCTACTCCTAGTGAGTAACAATGATATTTCGACATGCCAAGATGGTACATGTGCAGCTGGGACGGGCAGAAGCTGATCGTCGTAGTTGGCAAAGGCCATGTATCTCTCAACCTCACTTTACGTCGTACTTTTTCATTATTCGCCAATGTCCGACCTTGCGTCTCCATTCAGGGATACAAAACAGCATATGACAATGTCAACACTGTATTGATCCGAGAGAACACGGAAGGAGAATATTCAGGTATCGAACATGAGGTAAGGTCATCCTCAATGTGTGCACACGAGACTAATCATCAAGATAATTGATGGTGTCGTTCAGTCAATCAAATTGATCACGTACGAGGCTTCCGAACGAGTAGCACGTTACGCATTCCACTATGCCACTGAAAACGGCAGAAACAGGGTTACGGCCGTACATAAGGCAAACATCATGCAAGTCTTTTTGCGTGCTTGGAGAATAGAAAAACTGACGGATAGGAAGATGTCAGATGGAATGTTCTTGACTGCCTGTCGTGCTGTTGCAAAAGAATACCCAAAGATCGCCTATGACGAGGATTTACTCGATCGAGTCTGTCTTCGGGTAAAGTTTCTTTTTTTGCCTTGATGTCAATGCTGATATCAGATCGCTCAGGATCCTGGACCTTATTCAGACAGAGTCATGGTCATGCCGAATTTGTAAGTTAACTCCAATACTGGTGGGATCATCTGACCAGACCAGGTACGGTGACATTTTATCCGACTTGTCGGCAGGCTTAATCGGCGGTCTCGGCTTGACACCGTAAGTTGCCTCGTCAGAATAGCTCAACATGATGATGCTGACTATGCAGCTCTGGGAACATTGGCAGGGTAAATCTCTCACTGTTGGATTGTCCATAGCTGACTTGATAGGACGCCTCGATCTTCGAAGCAGTCCACGGATCTGCTCCTGACATTGCTGTACGTTTGCGTCAATCCTCAACTTTACCTGACGTATGCTGATCGACCCAGGGCAAAGGATTAGCAAACCCGACCGCGCTTCTCCTGTCGTCCTTGATGATGCTTCGGTAAGTGACGTGATAAGGATTTATCACATCGTTGGTTGATGAATCAGTCATATGTCGCTGGGTTCATTCGCGGACAAAATCGAAAAAGCCACATTGAGCGTGAGTTGAAGCAAATCGTCATGATGTTACAAAAGTCCAACACGCATCATGCTGCTGCGGAATGACGCATGTCGTCACACATACGAAAAAGCAGCATGTGCTACGTAAGGAGGGTCAGTGGGAATGTTTGGCTGATCTACAGACTATCGCAGAGGGAAAGCACATCACCCGCGATTTGGGCGGCAAAGCGGGCACGAAAGAATACACAGAGGCGATCCTTGGCAAGTTGTGATCGTCCTCATATATCACACGTCCTTTTGGTGTGTAGACGGCGTTGGTGTAGAGAAATGCATAGGAAAAGCATTGTGATCTGTCCCTAGTGCTCACCATCTCATGTCTGAAACGTGGACACCGAATGGGTCATCAGTCCATCGGCAGTCGGCATACACCTGCAACAAAACTCCAAGTGGTAGATGAGAGATTTGCTAAAGTGTCCAACACGAATAATTTGTCACTCCTAAATATCCATTTCTGATACATTGGTTCGGAAGGCCTAAATAATTGGCGAGGCAGGACAAATTGAGATTCCCAAACGGGTAAGTTGGTAAAACAAATAAGTACTGGTTTGTATAATGTCGAGAAGATGAATAACGTTTCATCCGACCAACGTCATACTTACATTATCTCTAATCTATCCCCGTCATTCGTAATCTATCGTTTCTTCTCAAACCCCATCCGATACTATGTTGTCATGCATCTTGTGGAGCGAAGAGGACGATCTCCGGTGTCATGGTGCTTAAATACCACCCTAAACATCTTTCTTCTTCCTCAACAAACAATCTCTTCTCATCTAACAATCCAACTCCCAAGTCACTTGGAATAATCTTACCGTCTTTACTCGCATCATCAATAATCACTTGACAACCTAGTCACCTAGTTATCTCATTGATCACTTTCATTTCATACATCCCACTTGTATCTCCTCCCTTCGACATTTCGTGTTCCCACCACATTGGACGCGTCGCGTTCCTCAAAAACGGTGAGTTCCTTTCCTTTCCATCAGATCGGATCAGTCAGTCTGCAGCCTGCAGTCGGAGAGTTCGGAAGCTCGGCCACCTCGGATCGGAGATTTTCTTTCTTTCAAGCCCACGACGTCATTCTTTCATTCTCGTCCCATTCCTCCATTTCCGGAACTCGCACGCGTAGGCCGTGTTCTTTCCCCTTCTTTTCTCTGCTTTTCCGGCCGCATCGGCTCCCGGCTCTCAGCTGTGCCGCTGGCCACTGTAGAGGTTTTAGGAATGAGGAGCTGCTACATGCTGCATTGCTGCAGCGTAATTCTACCGCGTCGTCTTCCATCTCTCTCACGGAATTAGTCATCTATCGTTTTATCTTTCATCATGTCCAATTGAAAGTACTTCACTCGTATGATTGTGTGACCATTCCTTGCAGAGTCGTGTTCTTGAGCTGATCTTCAGAAGACGCACGGTATATACGCTACCACGACCCATCCTTTTTGAAGATCTCACTCCACACGCCCCTTTGAAAGTCACCCCTTCGTCATAACTTCTTTGGACGTGCTACTACTGTACTGCCGACTCGTACTCCTTTCATCCCCGCAGTTTACTCCACCCTTGGCAATCCCTCAAATTCTTACATCGCCTTTTTCGAACTCATAACTTTTCGTACCTACAATACTACTCTACTCATCCACGGTACCACAATCGATTATTGCCACCAAGTCGGCCTTCTTGACCCGGACACTCCTTTGAGACACGTTTTTCGTCCCCTCGGCCTCGGTCTCTTTTTCCCTATATCATATCTCGTCGCGTCCCAGACGTCATTCCATCGTCAGACTTCTTCAAAGCTCCACAGTCTTTACTGTCCGACCCTCTCTCTCATTCCACCACAATGACATATGACACACTCCCAGTCCCGATCCCTGTCTCTCCCGCCGATTCAGATATCTTGACTTTCTCCGATTCGCCTTCCTGGTCACCTGCCTCTTTCGCCTCTTCAGCTCTACCCATCACCCCTCAAACGAAAGATGAAGCCCGTCTTGCCGCCCCACCACCCTTCTCACCTCGTCGAACACCCGGATCGTCTCACTTTCATTATTCTGGCGCCATAGCTGGAGACGCAAGATATCATTATAACCGAGCCCTGGAGGCATTAACTAAAGACCGACCACCGGCTCAAAGAAAAGAAGATTATTCGTCTAGGTTCAAAGAAGAACTCAATCCTTTTGACGTATATATGCTTAATGTGGATAGGAAGGAGTTGGAAAGGAAATTAAAAGCTGAAGGTTCTTCTCAATCGATTGCAAATACAACCAAGGAGAATGGTTTCAGCTCGGGTTCGCCGGTACGTAAGCAAGCTGGATCAGGATCGGCATCAGGTTTAGGATTAGGTTCAGGGTCGGATGAAATGTTAGTTTCGGTCAGTGAAATAGAGGATGGTTCATCTATGGATCATTCTAGTGAAATGAATATCCAACCCAAATTACTCAGTTGGACAGGAGCTCGACAAAATGAAGATACAATGTCGACTTATTCCACTACCACTGGCGAATCTGTCCATTCGGGACACCAACTAAAGTCAATTCTTAAAAACCGTACGGAGAAGAATGGTGTTATGGAAGAGAAGAAGCAAGAAGTTAAGAAATCTAGAAGTCCAGGGGAATTTTGGATGTCTCTGAATCAGCTTGAGAGAATACAATGGGCTGAAACTGCCAGAATAGCAGGTCAAGTTTTACCAACTCCACAAAGAGAGACATTACCATTTTTCAATTTCTTCCCTGAGCCGGGTGCACCTACTCCCCCTCTTACCCTCGCCCCGAGACTAGAAACGGTTTCTGAATCTACTGAAACAACGGAAATGATTGAGATGATGGATTCGATGGAGATTATTTCAGAGATAGGGAGACAGGTATTGACACAAGGTAACAGACCTAAACCTTGGCCTTTGGTCAAACAAGCCGGATCGCAAGGTTCGGTGAATGAAGCGAGGGAAGGTAGGACAGTGAGCGAGGATATGGTATTCACTGCTGGGTTGAGGGTACAAAGAACACGGGCGAATCGACCTCCTCGATGTCTGGCATGATCAATCATCGGTCAATATCACACATTTTCGCCCAACAACGACCTCGTCTCTCCTCGATTCAACATGACGGATCATTCCTCTCTTTCCACTCTGATCCTATCCGCTCCCTTCCGCAAATAGAAAATAGATCCTTCCGCCAATCCACATCAATGTGTCGATTCCCTCCCTAATCGACAACGCCTTCCCGGTCTCCATCCCAGATACCCTTAAAACTGCCTGTTGAGAAAGATGTTGTATGTATATCAATTGTCTGTGAGAATTGAGAATGGAATAATGTAGAGAAGAATATAAAGTAAGAATCACGATCGCTGCGTGAGATAAGTTTGGAAAAGAAGAAGGATTATTGAGGAAAGAAAACTTCACGTGTATACGTTGGAAAATGTAGGAATGTGGTAATAGGAGGAGTAGGAATGAGATTTGTTGTTCGACCAAACTCATACTTGGATCATTGGGTAAGAAAAAAGGTGAAAAGGGTCAGAAACAGATATAAAAGAGGAATGTGAAAGGAGTCTACAAAGAATGTAGCCAATAGTCAATTTGCATAAAGAAGTTGGAAGAACAATTTGTACCAGACATTTTGAATGGAAGTTGGATACCAAATATAATGCATACACCGAATGTCTTGTTCTATTTCTAATTCTCCCTCACTAATTAGTCATAGTGTTTTTGACCGGTACAGATGATTGACTTCCTTTCCTTGACCTTCGAAATTTTTCGAGAGTTGATACTGTATAACGGATGAGTGAGCAAGATGGAGCTCATTTGACTGGTATAGTGGTGGCTTGGACTAATTCCGAGTCTAAATCTAAATTGACCCCATTCGAAGTTGAGTAATGGGGTTCGGAAGTGATATATTTTTGCCAAACTTTGACAATCTGACATCAATTTTACAACTCTTGGTAACCTTGCAGAGAAAGAGACACGAAAACATGTCCCCTTTTAGGATTCAAGCAAAGGGGATTGGTCAGAAGGATGAAGAATGGTAACGAGGAGAATTAATGAAGAATGGTCACCAGGAGAATTGATGAAGAATGGTAAAATGAAACAAACGTCATATTCGTATATCCAAGAAGTTTCAAGATCTTTCCAATTCTGATCGACTATTCGTGATACTTTATCTTCCAAGTCTGTACCTTGTTTTAACGCGGAAGAATAGTTTGAAGCCATAAGGTCTATGACGGAGAACTGAGAGTCAGCGGTAGTTCTCATTATACTCATACTCTACTTGTTTAGGCCCGAATAGATTAAGATCGGAGGAAGGGTGTATGATGATGGAGGGGCATGTGAATTGGAAAACAGACGATTCTGGGAGGAAGTGAGAGTATATGTAAGATGTTAGATCCAGGGGATGGGGGAGAGGGAAGAAGACGGAAAGAAGAAATAGGACAAAAAACTTACTATTCTTTCGTAAAATGGTGCTCGGACAGAATCGAAGTTCTCCAATGCCTCTGAAAGTGTTTGTCCATTATCCCATGCGTGTTGAATAGCGGAAAAGAGAATATATGCATCTTCGAAAGCGAAAGCTGCTCCTGCTCCTGTATGATAAGCGTCAGAAATACAAAGAACGTGCGAAGGAAGAAGTTGCGTGTGTGATGAGAGCATTCAACTTACCAAAAGCACCAGACAAAGCTGAAAATTAGTAAGTGAATCAATCTTTCATATTAACGGAGAGATACTAACGATGTGAAGCATCTCCCACTAATGCGATTTTCTCACCCTCTATTACCCTCTCTAATCTTGGTCCACCAAACATCGAGAATTCAAGCCATGTTTCTGGAATGGATATTATCGCTCGTACAGTCTCGCAAAAAGACTAGGTTTGTAAATCTCTTATCATCCCACAAACTGGTCAGAAATGTATCGATCAAGTGTCGTATCTCTTGTGGGAAACTGGTGGGAGTTCCATATGGATGGGACTCGGCAGGAGGGGGAACTTTGTCGACCATACTATGAGGATATGTTAAGAGATGGGAGGGAAGATGAATATAATGCAAATGCAAGTCTTACTCACCTCGCAATGTCTTAATACTTTTTCTTTACCTGCTTTCTGACCCCAACTTACTTTTCCACCCTCTTCTTCACTCTCTGAAACCCAAACGGCAATTTCGAACTGATCCCCTAACCCAACTGTGAACACCCTCGCGTCTGGCATCCACCACCAATTTGATACTTGTGGTAAGTTGGGTATATGAGCGACCGAAGATTGAGGTAGCAAAGCTCTGTACGCAACTTTACCAGTGTAACCTATATGATGTTTTGGGAAAGCGTGCTGTCTTACTACCTGATCATGAGTTCTTTCACCCTCACCCACTCACCCTCGCCATATGACTTCGTCGTATTTTTCACCTCGATCAGACAACTTTCACGTCCCGTGTCTTCAACCTATGACAGACCGCGTCCACATTCCGTAGTAGTAAAGAGATACGTATAGAAGAGAGAATTCAACAGGAAAGGGGGAAGGGGAGGGAGGGGAGAAAGAGACAAGGAAGGGAATACTAACAGATCGTATACCATCCGCCCCTATCAAAAGATCAAAAGGTCCTTCTCTCGTCCCATCCTGAAACTCGAGAAATAGCTCTCCGGAAATCTCATCTACTCTTGATAGCCCTTTACACAGCTGAATCTTTCCTGGTGGTATTTTGGACAAGAGCGCACTTTGAAGTTTATACCGTTTAACTCGTGATTTGGCCGGTGTATCCGGGTCAACAAAAACATCAATACTGAGTACTATGTCTTCCTCAACACTGACAAGCAGGGGTTATAAAGCTTACTTGATTGATGTTTCTCCAACAACAACTTCCCACTGAGTCCATTTCTACTCATCAGCCATCCCATTGGCGTTTGCGCATTTCACCATCGCAGGAAGATCAACGATTAAGGTGTCAGAAATGAAGATGACCCACCTATGCTGTTGGTCCACGACTGACGCATCTCCCCTGGTACTATACTCCTCTCCTAAGACATCTGTAGCTTCTAACAATCTTAACAACCTCCAAGTATTCTGATTCAATGTAATGCCCTATATGTCAATCCTCTACTTGGCATTCGGATGGAGATTCACTGACCGCTCCTATTTCCCGCAATTCTCGGGCTTTCTCAAAAACGCTCAATTCCACAAATGGCAGTCGAGAGAGAAAGATAGTACTAGCCAGACCGCCTGGTCCAGCGCCTACCACCGCTACACGTAGTTTGGAGGTGGACATGATGATGCCGATGTCGAAGAGTACTACTCGTATTTTGGTCGGACCTTATTACGGGTTATCACCATTTTGAGAATGGCGAAATCGCGGAGAAGGCCGATATCAAAGATAAACCATGTTTGGCTCGCTGGGTAGGTCAGAGATCAGAGAGTCAGTGTGTCATCCTGGAATAAGTCTCACCCGACATCTGTTCACTCACTACATCAATTGTCCTTTTGTCAGACGGAGGACAGGTTGTAGTATGATCAAGCACACAAGTATTGGCAATCGGCGATATTTGCGGGTGCATGGTGCATGGGTGCACGAGGCAGAGGATGACCAGTTTCGGTGTTGCCGGGGGGTTAGGGGCCCCACAAGAATACTCCCAACATTCCACATCTACCGCACAGGCTTCTTGATGAAATTGTGTGGGGAGGCGATGCGGGACGGCAGGGGATCCAGGGGCCCAGGGGAAGCCCTTCGAGGGGCGCTGGTAGTGAGGAGAGAGCTACGGATTTGCATACAACTTTTTCTGACCGGTGTTGCATGTTGCATGCATGATGGTGGAACCGGAAATAGATTGACAGGAGGGGAGGTTGGTTGTCCAGGCACGGCTGGACGTCTATGACGACGATTCAACTTTGCAACACGTTGCACACCCTCTTTCTTTCCTTTCCTCCTCTCCCATTTGATATATAACCCCCCTCTTGTATCACACCTCTGCCTCATCCCACAAACCATCACTTGGACATAAAGAACTGTCCTTGACAACACCCAAAATGTCCCTCGCACGTCATGTCGACCCCGACAAGCTCATCGCAAGATCTTTGGACCATCCTATTCACAAGCACGTAACTCGGTCAGTCTTCCCTGATCATGACCCCTTCCCCCCACCTCCGCCTGACCATCATTGGGACCTCGTCGCCCTTGTGCTTATATATTCTTCCTTGAAGCGATGAACTTGTTGGCTCACATCCCAGTCCCGACTTACAGGACATTCCTTACACCAGCCGTTATGACATCGACATCGAGCTGCCCAAGTACAAGATGCCCTCTGATGGTGTCAGTGCCAAGATTGCCTATCAGCTTCTGCACGACGAACTAGAGCTTGGTATGTCCTCCTCATCCCTACGACTTTACAGATCTGACGGCTAGACGGTAATCCCAATCTGAATTTGGCATCGTGGGTATCCCTTCTTGAGCAGTCCAAAGGAGGACGGCACTTATGATTCAGATTCGTTCATACATGGGTACCGGACGAATGTCAGAAACTCATGCAAGAAAACCTCAACAAGGTATGTGATCGTCGACGACTCCCACGCCCTGTACTGATGTCAGAATCTCGTGGACCAAGATGAATATCCGGCTGCGCAACAGATTCACGAACGTTGTGTCGTGAGTTGTCACTTTACACACATGTCATCATCCCCCATACGACTTCTTCCCTATACCTCATCATTCCATGAGACTAGTCATGGAAGCAATTGCGATTGACTGACGACAGTCTATGATATCCGCACTCTGGCATGCTCCTCCTGGAGCTTCTGCCATGGGTACAGCCACCACCGGCTCATCCGAAGCGATCATGCTGGGCGGTCTGGCTTTGAAACGAAGGTGGCAGGATAAGATGAAGGCTGCGGGAAAGGACATTCACAAGCCGGGTCCTAACATTGTCATGGGTGCCGAAGCTCAAGTGGCCTTGGAGAAATTTGCTAGGTACTTTGACGTCGAATGCCGTTTGGTTCCGATCTCCGAGGAGGTGAGTTGCTCTCCTTCAGTTATCACTCAGTCTTGAGCCGGGGCTTGCTCCAATTCCATTGAGCTCCTCGTGCAGACGATTATCTTAGTGTGAATATCTGACTCGACAGAGTAACTATGTTATGTCCCCCAAAGAAGCAATGAAATATGTAGATGAAAATACCATCGGGGTTTTCGTGTGAGTCCTTGCAGACATTCCGCTTTCGATTCACCATACGCTGACGTATCAGCATCCTCGGCTCGACCTACACAGGCGCTTACGAGAGCGTCGAAGAGATGGCTGCCGAGCTCGACGCCTACGAGGCGGCAACTGGCGTCCACATACCAATTCATGTGGACGCTGCTTCTGGAGGGTTTGTGGCGTGAGTCTAATCCCATAATTCTTGTGCAAGGAGCCCGAAGTAGAGCGGATCCGCTGATTTTCAGACCTTTTGCTACCCCTAAGTATGTATGGGACTTCCGTATCCCTAGAGTACAGAGGTGAGTGATCATGCGTTGTGTGATGACAGGTGCTCATCCTTCAGCATCAACGCCTCAGGTCATAAGTATGGAATGAGCGAGTTACTTTTAGCCAATCACGATGATTACTGACGACCAGGCTCTGTCGGTGTCGGATGGGTGGTCTGGAGGTCGCCCGAATTCCTGCCTAAAGATCTGATCTTCGAGTGAGTGCTCATGAGCCTAACAACTGTCAGCTGACCATAGACTTCACTACTTGGGCGAGACTGACTATTCTTTCAACCTTGTGGGTCACCTCCCCTCGAATGGATCGCTGCCTCTCTTTGTTTTGATATGCCAAGAGCTGACGGGAAGAACTTCTCCAGACCCGCCCACCCGATTTTGGCGCAAATGTTCAATTGTATGTCGGATTCTGTGGCACTTTTGGTCGACGTGCTGATAGAACAGTCATCAATCTTGGCTTCTCCGGCTACAAGCGTATCATCGAGAATGACCTTTCCAAAGCCCGTTTGATCTGCCGAGCATTGGAGAATTCTGGCTACTTCACCGTCCTGTCCAACTGTCACCGACCGGTCGATGCTTCTGGCACCCTCTCTGCCGCCGCGCAGGTCGCGGGGGACATGGTCAAGGGTCAGAAACCTCTCGATCAGGAAGATGCTGCCTTTTACCACCCTTCCTTGCCCGTGGTCAGCTTCAGGCTCCGAGACGACGTAAAGGCGCAGTATCCTGGTTTCAAACAGGAATGGATCCAGCTGCAACTCCGTAGTATCGGTTGGATCGTGCCCAAGTGAGTACTCGATTCGTGCTATGTGTCTGGCATCATTGACAGTCAGCTACCCACTCGCGCCCGACTGTGAGAACTTAGAAATACTCAGGGCAGTGGTTAGGGAGTCCCTCTCTGGCGACCTGGCCCGAAAGTTGATTATTGATATTTTGCAAGTGTAAGTGTTTTGCAGGTTTTGTTTTACATCCGCTCATGCATACAGGACCGAAGAGCTGCTCAAAGGTGCCGGGCCTTCGTTCCCCATGGCGACTATCAGTCTCAACAAGAGCAATGAGCACAAACATGATGGAATTGACAAGGAGCATATCTCTGTAAGCTACTGCACTCCCTATATTGTCAGTTCTTTGCTTACCCATAGAACAACACATCGACCTATGCCAAGACATGTTGATTTTATGGATCCGCTCGGGCTCACACTTCTGTGAGCAGGTGACACGATCGAAAGGAAAAGAGGGAGATCATAGGAAGGAACAAATCATGAACTTGCGACGAATACGATTGGTCACGTTTGAGCATGTATGTGCTTCACGTTTTGTCTCCGAGTGTCACAAAATCCTTTGTCAGCTTGTTGCTTCTCCTCCACACTGACATCTTGACACTGACTGTCTTGACATGCATCGGGGGCACTTTCAGTCAACTTGCTTCCCGCACGTGACTACGCCACCCCCGGCATCGGCAATCGGAAATCTAGAACCTTGTTCATCGGATGAACCGTCGACTGGCCGGATCAGGCATCTATCGCATTCCACCCCTCGCCTCCTGTTCCTCCCCCCATGAACCCTCTGACTCGCATGCTTCTCTCCACAATGACATGGAGGTCTCTCCCGGCGCAAGTCCGGCTCGAAGTTGGACATCATTCTATTCCCGCCTCTCTTCCCTTTCCTCTCAATTCGCGATCGGCGTACGGTGTCTGGAAGAAAGAAGAAGAACCCGCACGGTTGACCGCTTGACATGTCAACATTCACCCCCTTGAGGTGTTCCTGATTCATACGACCTGCAGACCTGCGATCTGCCAGGATTTTCGATCGGCTGTCCGTTGACGTCGGCCGGGGTTGTGGCGTCGTGGCGTCGAAGATTATGAGGTAGGTGGACGTTGGTTGCTCGTGAATAAGTGAGTGAATCGATTGGGGATTTTGTCATAAAGCATTCATTTCTAGGAAGGCTAGTCGACAACCTCCTCGTCCACTCTTTGCTGTGATCACAGGAGAGTCGCTCATACAGCGCTCTGTCGGCGAAGGTTCAAAATCCATCTTCTGATCAGTCACTCCCGTCGATCACGTTCTCTCTTGAGGTTTCATCGAAAGATATAGAAACAAGATGTTGGGAGCCCTTCTCTCCCTCATCCCCTTGCTGGGAAATGTCCAGGCGTACTTTATCATGTCTCAGCGCATCCTCGAGATCACCCGACTTGACCCGTACGTCCTTCTCTCCCGACTGATCCCTACCTTTTCATGTTTGCTCGGGAATCGACTCATAAAGTTTGCTCAAGCTGACACGTCAGAGTCGTCAGCCCAGGTCAAATCAGCAGTCATGTCCATATCATCTCTGGAGGATCCAATTTTGCCGACAGTATGACATACGCCTCTACCCAAGCTGGGAAATGTACCACGGCTCCCGTTTCAGTCGATAAATCCAATTATTGGATCCCTATGCTTTACTATTATTCCCCTTCGAACCAATCTTACCAAGCTATCCCTGCATCGTTCATGAACGCTTATTATCTTCCTAGACCAGGTAAAAGTGGTATAGTTCAAGCTTTCCCAGATGGACTTCGAATGATTTCTGGAAATCCTAATCGACGTACATTCGATCCTACTTCCCCTGCCGATCTCGCCATCACTTTTGTATGTCTTGATTATTCTGGACAACATACAAACGATCCAGATTGGGCGCAACGCAATAGTTTCTTCGACCATAATTGTCCTCAAGGTATGAGAGCTCAAGTTAATTTCCCAAATTGTTGGGATGGTATAAACCTCGATTCATCCGATCATTCTTCTCATATGGCATGGCCATCAGGTGGTGTAGATGGTGGTGATTGTCCTGATTCTCATCCTGTTCATTTAGTTTCACTTTTCTACGAATTCATTTTCAACGTTCAAAATTTCCCATTCAACCCAACACCAAACCCTACTTGGGTATTCGCAAATGGTGATACAACAGGATATGGACTTCATGCGGATTTCATAAACGGTTGGCCAACTTTAGTTAATGGTACGAATATATTACAACAAGCGATAAATGATTGTAATGATGATAATGGTGTTGGAGGTGAATTATCAAATTGTCCACCTTTCGTTCCTTTTTTAAATCAAGATTCTGCTTCTGCTTGTCAACCTCAAAATCCTTTGGTCGATGAAGATGTTGGAATGGGACATTATATTTCGAAACTTCCTGGAAATAATCCTATTTGGATAGGAAACGGTACGAAACCTAGTATACCTGGATATAAAGAAAATTCAACTTTGACAAATGTTACTAGTTCTTTACCTGGTGGATGGTCTTCGGTAGGATGTATAGCGGAAAGTACTACAGGTAGAGCTTTATCTGCTAAATCTCTTTCTTCTTCTAATATGACTGGAGAAGTTTGTGTTTCTTGGTGTTCCAGTTTTGGTTTTCCATTGGCCGGAGTCGAATACGGTGAGTTGTACAATCATATATCGTTCATCGTTCATCGTTCATCGTTCATCGTTCATCGTTCATTTATCATCTATCATCTATCATCTATCATCGTATATCGTTCATCGTACATTTCGAAATTTGTCCACTTACTGATTATGTTCAGGCGACGAATGTTATTGCGATACCGCTATGAGAAACGGGGCAAGCAATACGACCTTACTCGATTCCGATCAATGTAACATGCAATGTCCAGGAAATACCTACGAGAATTGTGGTGGACCAAACCGATTAAACCTTTACGTCAATCCATCACTTTTCACATCACCTTCTCTCCCAACCGGATGGAGTTATACAGGTTGTAAAACCGAAGCTACGACAGGAAGAGCATTATCAAGTTATTCATTCAGTTCCGAATCAATGACACCGACACTTTGTATTCAAGCTTGTCTTGCAAGGAATTATACATCTGCTGGAGTTGAATATTCAAGAGAATGTTATTGTGGTAATGTTTATAATCAAGGATCTATCAACACAACAGAAGGTGGTTGTAATATGGCATGTTCTGGAGATTCTTTATATACCTGTGGTGGATCAAGTCGTTTAAGTACATATTCTTTCACAAATACGAGTACACCTTCAACAAATACGACTTCTCCAAACAACACTACATCTCCTACCAACACTTCAACTATTCCATCCGGTTGGTCAATGATAGGTTGTCAAACAGATTCAAATACGAGATCTTTATCTTCTTATACATTTTCTTCAAATAACATGACACAATCTCTTTGTATATCAACATGTTCTTCAAAAGGTTATATTTACGCAGGTGTTGAATTTAGTAATCAATGTTATTGTGGTGATATACTAGGTGGAACTTCAACTTCAATATCAGATTGTTCAATGACTTGTTCCGGTGATCCTAAACAATCTTGTGGAGCAAGTATGAGATTAAATGTTTTTAAATCAAATACGAATATCATAACTGGTGTTATTCCAAATGGATGGAAATCGTTAGGTTGTATGTCGGAAGCTACCAACGGAAGAGCTTTAAACGGTTATTCGTTTTCAGACACAGGAATGAATTACACATTATGTTTGAACACATGTGCTGGGAAAGGATATACATATGGTGGAACGGAATATGCTAGTCAATGTTTTTGTGGTTCGATACTTAATTCAGGAGGGAATTCTACTGGTTGTAATATGCCTTGTTCAGGTGATCCTGGAGCTTGGTGCGGAGGTTCTTCAAGATTAAACGTTTTTTATAATCCAACAATTGGAACTTCCACCTCTACCTCTGGTTCCATTTCCACTTCGTCCTCTACCTCTCGTTCCATTTCTTCATCTTTCTCTCCTTCTTCCTCCTCCCCCTCTTTGTCTTCAACTTCATCATCGAGTAAATTCAGTACCATTTCTTCGGTCGTATCAACAACAAGTACGTCTACCTCAATCTCAACCTCAAGCAAGCCGACATCAATCACTTCCACCTCCACCTCCAGCTCGTCAACACCTTCATCCACTTCAACGACTAAATGGACTGCTCTCGGATGTTACCTCGATCAAGGCGCTCGAACTTTAAACGGTTATAGTCTCACAGCGAGCAATATGACTTCTGGAATATGTACCGATCTTTGCGGTTCGAGAAGTTTTGTTTATGCAGGAGTGGAGAATGGGAATCAATGTTATTGTGGTCAGACGATGACTACTATGACTACGGAAACTGGTTGTACGATGGTTTGTTCGGGTAATAAAACGGATGTTTGTGGTGGATCTTGGAGACTTAATGTTTTCAAGCTTGTTTGAATGGTCTGTGAGAGATGAGCCGGTTGTCTGCAAATACGTAGGCAGGTTTGCACAGAAATCAGTGCTCGTACTCGGATGAAAAGATAGGGGTGAAAGAAGTAACTCAGGAAAACAGAAGTAAAAGAGGTCAATATCTACTTCACGTATCATGGTAAATGTGATGGACATTTGAGCAGATCATGCCGCATGCCACATCATGTACATGCGTCAAGAGAATAGATGAGAAATAAGTGAGAAGTCGAAGCATTCTGCATTCCAGAAATCTACAATTCATCCAAATCTACACACAACGTACATAAAGCTTCCACACGATAGATATATCTCCGACTCATCCCTCAAGCCTTCTCAACAAGATTATCAGTCTCTACATCTCCATAAGCTGGTAACACCTCTTCCCCTTCTTCAATCGGTGTGACGGGCAAAGCCACTCGACCAGCTTTACGAGCTTTACGTAAAGCTCGACGTTCAGCACGAGCAGCACGACGTTCTTCTCGGGATTTGCATCCTCCCCTGAGACGACGGAGGGAGAGAAGGAAGAGCATGAAGAAGAAGTGAAGGATCGATCCGAGACCTGCACCGAGGACGAATGCCATGGCGATAGCTTCGGCTGGTGAGAGATGGTGGAGGGCTCTGTGAAGTCTGAATTGTCAACTGCATCCTTCGAGTCTTTCGTTTTGTAGTACTCCCTAAACATCGTGATATCTAATTTGATGACCAATGATAATTTCACTACTGCCCACCCAAATCCTCACTGACATGCCGAAACCAGAGGCATCAGCCAGAGTAGCGAAATGAGGAGTATCATGGAGAGACTCAGATGTGACGACTCACCTTCCGGAGAAAGTAGGAGCATGATGATGTCCGTGCATATGACCATAACCATGACCATGTTTCTTATGCCATCCGTCATGACCTTCCAAGCCTTGTCCATTATTCATCATCTTATCCTTCCCTCGTTGTTCAGGTACAAAAGGAAGAATCTTTACACCACCTCCTTCCATGATCGGTACCACTTTGTCTTGAGCTTGACGAACCATATCCTCCACATGCGCCCTCCATCCTTCAGACATCTTTGCCATCATCCCACCTTCGGGACGAGAATGAGCGTGGACCTCTTTTGCAACTTGTTCCCAACGACTCGGAGAGGGTCCTAGACCGAATTTAGCTAACAAAGATCCTAGAGGACCAGAAGGAATTCGATGGTTTGGACATGGTCGACGGAATGGCATCGGTTGAAATCGGATAGCGTCGTCACCTTCATTGTGGGTGTCTTCGGATGATACGGGAATACGGAGGAGGTTAGGAGGAGGAGTGTCGAATGATTGAACGGTGGTGATTTCTCCGCTGGAGAGATTGATGATACGAATGGGAGCGGCCGAGGTTGGTAAGACAGTGGCGACTGAGTGATCAGCGTATTATCCCGACTTTCGATGCTGACAATGGGATGTAATTGGGTGATTATACTTACCAAGGGCCACCAAAAGACCAAGAGTGAGCTTCATGTTGGGTTGTAACGAGCGTCAGGTGATGTATTACGAGTGAGAGAAGAAAGAGAAACGTTGGCTGGGAGGGGACACGGGGATCGGGGATATGGTGGGGGGAGAGAAGAAAGGGAAAAACACCTTGGAACTTTCTCAAAGTGGCGGTCTGTGCGGGCGGACATCGCCGCTTGGGAAAGAAAGACCTTGCCTTCCACCAACAACGATCCAACTGTCTGCCTGTTCTCGTTCTCGCTTTGGTAGGGGCGGTCCACGACAATGTCCGTCATGCTTGAGACTTCCCTTGGGGAGTTGGTGATAGATTTGGAGGTGGAGAAGTGTCCAAGGACTTGTGAAAACTTTCTCAAGCTCTGCAAACTCAAGTACTACACTCTGAATGCTTTCTTCAACGGTAAGTCCAAGCCTCGTCCATAAAGTCTCACCTTCATCCGATTCCACAGTGTAGTTCAAGTCGAACTCTTCCGGGTCTGTGAGGATGTCTAGCTCATACTAAACTTCAGTTTCCAAAGACTTCATAGCCCAAACAGGAGACCCCACTGCCACAGGGACTGGAGGATGTTCTTTCCTCTCTCATCTTCATACCCTTTCCAACTCTTCCACCCCTCCACCACCCCGTTACTTCCCTCCTGAGATACTCAACTCTCTGAAACACATTCACAAAGGTACGGTCTCAATGGCTGTCGCTCCGACCGACCCACCAGGCTGCGGTAGTCAATTCTTCATCACCCTTGCCGATTCTATCGAATATCTCGATGGTCGTCATGCCGTTTTCGGACACGTTATCGAAGGTTTCGACACTTTGGATAAAATAAATGAAGCGTTCTTAGATAAAGATGGTAGACCACTGCAAGATATTCGTATACGTCATGTGGAAATTTTGGAAGATCCTTTCCCCGATCCTAGCGATATGATCACACCACCTCTTTCACCCCTTCGACCACCTGATCTAGATATTGCTGGAGTGGCAAGAATAGCAGATACCGAAAACCCTTTTGAGGATAAACCAGAGGATGAGAAAGAAGAATTGAGAAGAAAGACGGCGGCAGCTTCCAGTGCTTTGACTTTGGAAATGATTGGCGATATACCTTTTGCTACAGTTCGACCACCAGAGGATATCTTGTTCGTTTGTAAATTGAATCCTGTAACTCAGGATGAGGATTTGGAACTTATCTTCTCGAGATTCGGCAAGATATTGAGTTGTGAGGTGGTGAGAGATAAGAAAACGGGTGATAGTTTACAATATGCTTTCATAGAATTTGATGAGAGAGAATCGGCAGAACAGGTGAGTTGAGATCCTCGGAATTTTTGTGTCAACTTCTTCCCCTGCTGCAGCATCCATTCGACGATAAGGCTTTAATATTGCCTACGCTACAAAATAGGTTTGGATCATGACTGATTTCCAGGCTTACTTCAAGATGCAAAATGTCTTAGTTGACGATAGACGTATCTGGGTAGACTTCTCACAATCAGTGGCGAAAATGAACGGATCTTTCATATCTACCAACCCTCGTCGAGGTGGAAGAGGAGGTAGAGGAGGGGGACGTGGCGGACGAGGGGGTTATGATGCATCGGACGTAATGAGAGGGCATGGACAAAGAGATCATGGGCACAGTGGGAGATATCGAGAAGACGTGGGAAGAGATGCGGATGGATATGGGATGGTGTTTGAGACTCCTCGGGGGAGTGAAAGAAAACGAAGTGAGAGTTTCAGTCCTAAACGTGAGAGGCAAAAGGATAAGTATAGGGAGAGGAGTAGAAGTAGGGAGAGGGAGAGACACAAAGATGAGTATGGTAGGGATCATCGAGATGAACATCATGATCGAGAAAGATATCGAGAGAGAGATCGGAAGAGAGACAGGAGTAGGGATAGGGATAGGGATAGGAACAGAGACAGGAGGCGTGATTAGGAACCAACAATGAGCATGGATGGCATGTTATACGCTACAAAACATAGATATCTTCACCTCTTTCCTCGTCTCATTATACATATTCACTGACCCATCTTCACTTTCTTCCCTACAACAGTTCTTCGACTGTCCCCCTCGATGCTACCCTACCCTCCGGACTTCACATGTTCTTCAACTCGTCAATCTTCTCACTTGCTTCACTCTTGTTCAAACCCTCAACTTCAACATGAACCCCCTTTTGCTTCTCTAAAACCTTCAGAAACCCAATTTGTTTACCAGTAGGAGGTTCTCCTCCCGTTGCCCAATTCTCAGGATGGTCCAGATGTCGTCCGTCGCCTGGCACCGTTTCATCGGGTTTATCGATTCCATTACTGTTGCTTCCATTATTTTCTACGTGCAAGATATTTCCTTCTCCATTTGTGTTTGTCGGTTTAGAGGTAGAGTGGACAGACTGGGACTGTTTTTGAGATGAAGGGGAAGATGGTTTCATGTATTCAGTGATAGTACCATTCTTCTCGTCATGCGATCCGTTATTCGACTTCTTAGCACGCTCTTCGAGTGTTTCGTGGGAAGTGTGATTTGTATTATTAGTTGCTGGATCATCATCGTGTGTTTTTGTTTCTAGATTGGACGTCTTGACCTTCTTATGATTTCGTTCTTCGCCGTCGTCATTCTCATGGGGGTCAGATCGTTTGTTGCCTGATAGTCCGTTCTTGTGAGTGGCAGTGTTATTGTGCGTTTCTTCCCCTTCATGTGTCGTGATTCCATTCTCAACGTTCATAACGACGTCCCCCTTTTCCTCTCCATCCTCTTTCCCGACCTCCACTCGTTTGTCTTGTTCTCCCACTACCTCTTCCATTGACCTCTTGGACGACTTGGTGTCAATTTGATCCGCAACTATCTCCTCCTCCCCATCGCCTGCCTGCTCTGCACCTTCTTCATCGTTCGTTCTATGAGCTTCAGTCTTTATAAGATCATCACCATCCTTGTCCGATTGTCCAGTAGTAAACGTGATATTGACCGGTTGTCCATTTTTGAGAGAATCGATAATCTCACAAGCTTCGCTCTTTCCTAAATTCTCCTTATCCAATCCATCTGCAGGGACAAGATCACGATGTTGATCCTCTAAAACATTTATAAAACCTTTTTGTTTCTCCGTAGCTGGATCAGAACCTGTCACCCAATCGGAAGGATGAGATAGGTGATCTTTGGGTAAAGGGGGAAGAGTGTCGCCAGATGCTGCTGTGGGTTGTGACATTTCTGAGGGTTACTTCACTCCCATTATCTACAGCGTGATCACTCACTGAAGATCTTCTTTATGCTCGTTCCTTTATATTTGATTGATATAAGTGAAGGTTGGGTGAAAAATGAGGAAGTCGAAAGTGTGTTTTTAGATATCGAAAGGGTCAGAGATGGAAAATAGAAAAGAAAGTCACTCGCGATCGGTGACTGTACTTACGGAGTTCATACCCATCTCCGTCATCCTATCGAATTGCTTCCGTTCAACAGATATCCTCTGGAGTTCTTCCAGAACCATTCCGGTGAAACTCACTTACTGTACAAGTCAGCTCAAGCCAGGGATCAGTCAGACGACACAACATAACATGGAAGAAGATTCAGTTCCAGATCCATGGGCTGATGTTCCTTCTGTACCTCATCCGGATCTTCCCATAGCAGATCCCAGTTCTCAAAAATCATCACCACAAACCAAACCACTTCCTCTTTCCATCACCCCCTTTCCGATTGACGATACCACCTCTGATCCACTTTCGTCTCCATTAGATACTTCAGAGAATCAGGATGAAGATGATGGATTTGACGAATTTGATCAAGCTGGACCGAATGTAGAGAATGGGGATGATGGATTTGGTGATTTTGGTGATTTCGAACAGGGTGATGATGGGGAGATGAACATGGTCAATGAGCCGGAAGATATATGGGTGAGTCAACCGAACCAATCATCAACACTCTGTTAAAATGAACAAATCTGAGTGTTCTGTAGACTTGTTACTGATCAACAGTCCCCTTTAAAGTTAAAACCCTTACCTACGATTGAAGAAATAACAAAGCAAGTATCAAGAATATTGAAACCTCTCATACCCGACGAAGAAGGGTTGACAGATGAACCTCTTAGGATGATAGGAGGTTTAGGACAAATCATGTCTTCTTCATCTACGTGAGTCTCCACCTTTTTCTCAAAGTGACACTACTGTATCTCTCCTCTCTTCAATCTATGTCATACCATTCCATCTGTTATTATTGAAATTACTGAAATGGAATGTCAAGATGTTGATGGAGAAATCATTCGTAAAGATTGATATCAGACGAGATATATACGCTCAACTCACTACACCTCCTATGCTCAAACCTCTCGATTGGACACGTTCAAGAGTCAGAAGAGAACATTTGATATCAATGGGTGTACCAGTCAATTTAGATGAAGTTGATTCTCATCGATTATCATCTTTACCACCATTACGTATAACTACCAATCCTAATCTTCATACTATCCCTTCGAATGGAAATGGGAATGGGAATGGGAACTATAAAGGGAAGAATAGAGAAAGTAGGGATGTTTCTCCATTAGGAAATGGTCGACCTGGTAGTACTACCACACCGTTTACAACTGGAAGAGATGGTCATGGATTTGGACAAAGACCAGAGATGGATATGATCAGAGCGGAAAAGTTATGTGGAATAGAAGAAGGTAAAGTCTTTTTAACCTTTTCTTTCCTCCCCCCTTTTTCCCTTTTTTCTTTTACTTTTTTGAAAATTATTACTTTTTGGTATAAGCGGCGATGGCTAATAAAGAATTAGACGCTTTATCCATCATGTCATTATCTAATTTGAAAAATTTACAAAACGAACTTGTCAACATTACTTCACAAGCTTCTTCCACTTTAGCATGGTTATTACAACTTCGAGATTCTCAAATACAAGATTCAGCCACTTAGTGGGTTTCCCACATTCTTCTTAATCAATCTCATTACTTTCCATCACCAACCATTTGATTCCCGATGCTCCACTCTCTACTTTATCTATCCTGATCGTGGTTTCGTCAATTTGTTTCATATATTGTAAAGCGATGGAAATAAATGGAACGAGGACAAGTTCATCACTGACAACAGTAACGGAATGATATCCGAACTCATAGCCAATGCCGCCAAAGCCAAATCGGCCCAAACCACAGGATCCGGTGTGTTCCGTCGAACTTCCCTACGTCAAAGTACAGGTCCACGTCCTGTGAGCGGTCATGTGACTCCAAGAGTGGGTTCACCAGCTATGAGATGATTGACGAAACACGACCCTCACATAATCTTTATGACTGAAATGATATATGATCATGTATGCATCTGCCATCGTCACTGTTGGGCAAATTTGGTAGACAAAACGTTCAATCTATATACAAATCATCGTATCGTCATTCTGACCCATATACAAGACCACATCGATAACTCTCATGGATTCATGGGACAGTTGTTCCAGTCGCTCACTCAGCCTTGGTAACCCTTCCTATCTCCCTTGCACCCTCTTCACCTCCATTCCAAAATCCACCCCTGAGTGAACCTAGATCATAAATTCGTTTCTCCATCACCCTCTGCTCCACATTCCCACTTTTAGCTTTCAATTTCTGCAACTTCCTCTCTTCCTCACTTCCACGCCACAATACACGTTCCGCAATCCCATCCACCACCCAACGCAGAACCAAGAACCCGTGACTCGCGGCCAGCGCGATCAGCCCCAGAGGGATGAGAACGGGTAAGAGGGTTTGTAAGGTAGGGGGAGAGCGGTATGTCGCCAGAAGTACGGAAATATGGGTGTTTCCATGAATTGGGACATTAGGATTAGGCGTCTGATGATGTAACGCGGTAGAGGGACGGAAGAGGTAGATCAAAGTGGCGTTGGTCACCGCTCCAATCCATGAGATGATACTCTATGATGTCAGTGGCAAGAGATGAGGGAAAATGGGAAAACATACCAAAGTTTGAAGCCATGATCCTATAGTCTCCACTCTGTCGCCGATAGGACGACGAACGTGTTTACAGATTTTGAGAGCATCACTACGTAACTCAATGTAATTATTCAACAAAGCAAAGACAGGTGCGAGTGGCCAAACGATTGACCAAATGGTCACATAGCCGAATTGCGTCACCATTTCTGCGTAGTCGGCTGACTTTTAGTATCATCATCTCTTCCACTACTTTGTGCTTCCTTTACCGTAAGCGACTGTGACAGACTGCAGAGCAAGAAGAGGGAAGACCAAGGAGGAGAAAGGGAGCACAGGGAGACACCTCACTGAAAAGAGAGTAATCCGGAAGAGCCAACTCCCTCTCAACCTTCTTCAAAAACCTCTCTTCCACCTCCGACTCAGAAGTCGGAGAAGCTTCTTCCCCGTCCCGCTTCTTTAAAGTTGCTTTGAGAGTCGTCTTACCACTACGCCAGTCTGCAACAAAACGAAGCAGGTATGGTAAACCCAGCTCCAGAAAGATATTGACAACTATCTGTAAGCTCGGATATTGAGGCAACGGTGATACAGCTAACCTTGATTAGTGACCGTATCTGTGTGTGTCAACTTTTGAGTCGCACAATTTGTGAGTACCCGAATACTCACAGGCAAAGAGCTGTCCCTTCAACCTGTCAGCCTTGATGGCATGTTGTTTCTCCCCACTTGTCCGAGGGCCAAGACCTGCTTGCTCGGGTGTGGAAGCTACCGGTGTGCTGGTATGTGTCATACGGCCCTGAACGTAGTTCATGATGAACGGACCAAAGGGGACGTAGACGAAGCTTATCGTCAGTGGTTGTTCACCAAGACTGAGGGAAGATCTGACTCACGCGGAGAGAAACAGACCAAGATAGGCGACAATACCATTCATGGCGAATGTCTTGCCTGTGAGAGACTTTTCCGCTCCGACAGGAGTAGGGTGGTCTTCCCATTTGACAAGCCGATTAGCTAGCTTTCCGTAGGCACCGACGATTTGAGGAACGACCAATACGAAAAGAGCGGTCGGCATGAGAGGCTTCGAAGTCAATCAAATACCTTCAACCAGTTTGTTGTTAAACATCCCTACTGGGAGAAATCCGAGGACGAATGGGATTAAGCGTTACAAAGAAACTCACCACAATTTGTTTCCCCATGCCATCATAAACCTGTCCCACAAAAGCTTCCAAGACGAAGATACCCATTAATACCACTCCCAATCCCATTCCGCAAATCAAGATGACAGGTACGCTCAATGCAACTTTTGCATCCCTCGTCAAGTCATGCCCCGCTTGAATGACCTCGACGGTGTTTTCACCGCTGGAAGGAACTGCCTTGTCCCAGCCCATATTGGCAACGTATTCCGGACGTAGACGACCGACGGCGACTGACTCGCAGCCACTTGTTCCCCATCGGACAGCCAGTTTACGTTCTTTGATCCGCCAGAGGGAGACAAAGGTGGTGGAGTAGAGACAGAGGAGGAATGCGTAAAGCGGGGGATACGAATCGGCCGGGGTGAGGAGGTAGAAGAGTACGGAGATGATAGAGAGAGGAAGAAGGGAGAGGGAATAGGTTGTGAGGAATTCAAAGTAGAGGTGAATAGGGGGTGGTTGCTGGGACAGATGTCAGCGTGCCGTGTATTGATTTTTTCCCCGATCTCCTACCGATGAACAGATTGCGTTCATGAGAGTATGGAAAGGTGGACAACGAGAAAGAAAGAAAAGAGAGGGGGAGAGAAAACAGAGAGACAAAAGAAAAAAATATGAGGAAAAGGTAGTGAGCGAGGAGAAAGAGAGTTTATGCATTTCTATAGGGGACGAAGGTAGCGAATATGGTGAGCAACTCACATGAGCACCGAGATTCGTACTGTCACTCTGATCCAAACCAGCTATCAAACCAACTTTCCAATCCCCTTTTGTCCATCTTTCAATCCAAACCCTATCCATTTCTTCATCATGTAAAGCCATGATACTTTTAACTCTTTTCCATTTCCCTTCACCAGGTGTGATCCCCAAACCATGTTGAACAGTAGGAGCAGTCAAGAGATTATATATCAATCTTAATCTCGTAGCTGGGTTGAGTTCTCCTTCATGATTATGTTGTGGAAGATTATGATTTTTATCCAATGATCTTTCATTCAGCCCTTCTTACCTCACTTTATTTGTATACTTAAAGTCAGACTTACTGTTCTCTTTCTAACAATTCAGAAATCTTTTCATCTGAAGCACCTACAAAAACCCAAATCTCTTCTTTCCCTTTAATCTTATTACCTGATCTACTGGCGATACGTAATCCACCTTCAGACTCTAAAGCTCTGAGAAAGTATTCGTAGCTTTCTTTGATCTCGTTGGAATCTTTGATTCGGTCTTTCCCTACGCTGGTGGAGAATGGTATGACTAAATCTACTCCGAATGGGTTGGAAGTTGATTTTGATCCTTTGAGAGCGGTAGAGATGGGTGGACCAGGAGCTGTTGGTGCTCCAAGTGAAGGAGGGTTTGAAGACATACTTCTAGTGATACGTTGAGGAGTTGAGGGGTTCATTCCACTATGCCTCCTGTATATGTACAAAGTACAGTAGTTTACCACGTTGTGTTGGATGTGGGTGGGGAGATGATTGTGACGCAGCCATGACGTCAATTCGATCGATTGGTGGCACTTTCATTTCCTTTTTCCTCCATGGCAGCGTGTACTTGAGAGCCACTCATACTCATAAGGCCCCTTGAGACAAGTAGAATCGAGCGAGTCAAGGTGAAGAACATCATCCTCTGATGTCATGATGAGAGAATATGCATGTTTCCATCCTGAGAACGTACAACTTCATTTCTTCACGTTGGCGAAGAAGACCCAAGTGAGACGAGACTGTTAACGCTTATAATTAGATGATAATACAGAGGGGAAAAAGAGCATGCATCAATTCTACATGTCTCTATACTTATCACATTCCACTCACACGCATAAAACCAGAGACGATCGAATAAAGTTCAGAGGATAAGTTGAACGGAGAAATATTCGACGGAAGGGGTAATTCTAACGGCGGTTCGGCCGTCCTGGCCCGATTCTATCGGCTAACTGTCACGAACTACGTCGTGACACCTCGATTACTCCACCAACAATGACCCTCCTTTGGCCATCAAAACCCCATCACGCCTTAACCTCTTTACTCTACACGTAACTCAGGACTTCTGACACCAAGTACGGCGAAGTTAGACGGAGTTAGGCTAAGTAGGGACAATGGGAGCAGAAGTGCGGCGATGTTAGGCGGAGTTAGGCTAAGTAGGGACAATGGGAGCAGAAGTGCGGCGATGTTAGGCGGAGTTAGGCTAAGTAGGGACAATGGGAGCAGAAGTGCGGCGATGTTAGGCGGAGTTAGTCGAAGGAGGAAGAGGATGGCCGAGGGCTCGGGGAAGTTGGACGAAGTGCGTTGAAGTACGTCAAAGCGCGAGAGGGTTGGATGAACGTCTAGGAGGAGTAGATAATATTAGCTGAGAAGATCGCTGAAGTTCTTCAGCGATCCTTGATTGTTGTCAGTAGTAAAAGACAGATAGAGATAGCTATAAATCAAGATACATCGCCATCAGTAGATCAAAACCCTAGTTAGAGTAACTACGCCGAAGTACGCCGTAGTTACACCCCTTTCGACGTCTGCGCCCTCCTGGTTGGGTGAGACATCGACTCAGAGCGTGAAGTTAGCCGAGGTTCGTCGACCGTCGGTCTATTAAGAAGTAGTTGTTCGACGGCCGTGACAGTATCAAGGATCGCTCTTACCGACGACCCGTGCGAACCTCGGAGAAGTACGAAGATAATATGGAACCAGAAAGAAGAATTACACGAGGCATGAGTAGGGATGGAGACAGGATGGAGGAGAACGAGAGGAGAGCATTGGAGGAGCTTAGCAGAGCAATGGGGCAGGACCTTGGAGTTGAGGATAGTGTGGGGGGGTCAATTCAAGGAGATGAGTTCGTTCCACCGGTGCTTTCTAACCCTCCTTCTCCTCCGTCTAATGCTCTCCCACCTGTGGGATCCCCACTTGGATCAGACCAAACCCCACGCCCAAGAGAAAACACTGGAAGTACGGCGAACTTGGGAGAAGAAGGAACACAAGGGGTGGTGTTGGCCTTGATGCAGATGGTGGCGAATATGAACAAAGACATGATGGAGGAGAGAAGACGTAGGGAGGAATGGGAACAGAGAAGAGAAAGGGATACAGTGGGCGGGATTGCAGAAGGGATATCAGAAGGAGTGAGGTACGCCATGGGACGGCAAACTTCGGCGACCCCAAGCGTAGTGGGCGAACAACGGAAAGGGATAAAGCTACCTAACCCAGACCTATGGAGAGGAGATCGGAACAAGTTAACCGCCTTTCTGTCTGAGTGCGACGTACACTTCGAATTGAACTCTCATCTTTTCCCCGACGACACTAAGAAAGTCTTTTTCATGATCTCTCATCTACGCGAAACACCTCTTCTTGCAGTGCAGCCCGATCTATCCAAAAGACCTCTTCCTGAGTACCTCACGACACACGATCAGTTCGTTAAGTACCTCAAGACTAACTTTGGTGATCCAGACGAAGAAGGAACTGCGGCCCGACAACTTAACGACCTCAAGCAAACCGGGTCTGCTTCGGACTACTTCTCCGCCTTTCAGCGACATGTTGCGATTCTCAAGTGGTCTGATGATGGAAACCTAGTTGACCGAGCCAAGAAAGGACTAAAATCGCACCTTCTAGATGAAATCGCAAGACACGGTAGATCGTTTGGGACTGTAAAAGAGCTATTGGAGTTTGTGATTCCCTTGGACAACCGCCTGTGGAGGAGACAAGTGGAGAAGGAGGCAGAGAGGAAAAGGGAAGGAGGGATAAGGACAACGACAGTGGTGGAAAGTCAGAGGACGGAGAAGAAAGAAGAGAAGAAATGGGAAAAGGGGCAACCTTCGGCGCAGGGTGGTGCCCAGGCGGCTATGAGGTCGACGGTGGTAAAGAGTACACCGTCAAACATCGACGAAGTTCGCCGAAGATGGCCTAGGCCGAGCTCCGATCTGAGGGAGACAAGGAGGAAGGAGGGGAAGTGTACCGAGTGTGGTGAAGCAGGACATTGGCTGAAGGAATGCCCTGTAAGGGAGGCTAAGGTTAAGGTTGGACTGTTGCCTCCATGGGGGGAGAAGTTCGGAGAACGTGGTGGAGGATCGGGAGGGAACGCAGTACCTCTCGGACAGAGGAGGAACTTGAATGCGGTTGGAGGAGAAGTAGATTTGGAAGAGGACCAGGGAAAAGAAGAGGACCTGTCGCAGTAGGCGAGGCTCGGCGGGTCCGCCATATTCTCTCGGCCACCATTCCCAAACCCATAAAAGAAACACAGCTGATGGAGCCAGAGGATTGTGAATACAAAAATACACCACTCAGTACCCCTTGTTCATGCAATGTCGATAATCATCTCCTCATCCCTTCCGTTTCCAGAGATCAACCTAAATCGGACATTTTCATTAATGGAATGAAGCTAACTACGCTCTGGGACACCGGGGCTACTTGTTCATATATAAGTCCTAGAGCGGCGACGAAGATAGGCGCAGAAAGGAGACAATATCAGGTGAGCGTACCCGTTCACATGTTCGACGGCTCGGTGAGTGTCGCTGGACCCATCACCGAGTTTGTCGAAGTCGGATTTAGTTTGACGAAGGACGCCGAAGTGCGATCTGTTTGTCTCGATGTAACAACGCTCTGCGACGCAGATGTTGTGATAGGGTGGGATTGGATGAGGAAGGAAGGGGTTGTCCTTGATGGAAGAGACAACTCGGTGAAATTTCCCATCCCAACCCCACCAAGTGCGGCGAAGTTAGCGGCCATAGGGCTGCCGACTCTGACGGACGCGATAGACCGCCGCGGCGAAGATGAGCTTGAAGAGCTGAGCCCGGAGGAACAAGACGAGTTGTTCCAGGTAGTTCCTGAACAATACCACCAGTACATTGACGTTTTTAATCCGAAGAAGGGAGGAGAGACCCTTCCCCCTTCAAGGTCCTACGATTTGAAGTTTGAGCTTAAGGAGGGGGCGAACCTTAAGGTCGCCTCCCTCTATGCTCAAGGAGAAGATCAGAGACGCGCGCTGAGAGACATACTAGATCGCGAAATCGCCGCTGGCCGAATTCGGGCAAGTAACTCGCCATACGGCTCACCAATGTTTATGATACCGAAGAAAGCCGAAGGACAGTGGCGAATGGTCATCGACTATCGAAAACTGAACGAAGCGACCATACCAGATGCCTACCCTCTCCCTCTAATAGGTCAAATACCGAAGA